GGGACCCGCGCCTGGGGTTGGGGAGATGCTGGCACTCAGTTCAGGGGGGCACCACACGCCCCAGTTTCCAGAAGCACCTCCTTTATGTCCCCTGAGGAACGGTGTGGACCGATAAAGGCCCACGCCCTGCCTACCAGGGGCTCGGGGCTGCGGATGGTTCCGGAGCCGCCCTGCCCTTCATCCCTGCCCTCCCCCGGCGGCCCGAAGTCGCTCTGCCCGCTGCCCCCGTCCACTGCAGCGACCCCATCCCAGCCAGGGACGTCGGCTTCCGGGCCCCCTTTCTCCCTGGGTGTAGAGCACAGTGTTGGGCACCGAGCTGTCACCTGGCCCCGGTGACCGGGTGTCTGGGCTGGAAGCTGGGACTGTGCGCGGTGTCTGTCTCCCTCTGCTGGTCCCTTAAGGGACAGCCCGGCCAGGACGCTTTTCACAGGGCTGGTGGCCTCCCCGTGTCTCCCCAGACAGTGGTGGGTGACTACTGCAGGGCGGAGGAAAGGGCCCCGGGGCTCAGGCCTGGCTTCGGCCTGGACCACTGGCACTGCCTCCTGGGCCCGGGACGCCTGACAGGGGCCCCGAGGGGTGGCCTCCGGTCGGCCTTCCCCATAGGCCAGCAGGCCCCCAGGCAGCCTCCTTCCCCTTCCAGCCCATGAATGGAACTGTCAACCGTGGATTTATCTGAACCTTTTGTGAAGCTATTTCTATTTCCAGCCGAGACCGCATCTTGGAGTAATGAGTTCCATCGGTGTCCTCCCCTGCTGGGGCAAGCACGCTGCCTTTGATTTGTCCTAAACTTACCTCACTTGCGCTCCAAGGGGGCCCTGGAACCCCAGCATGCCAGGTTTTGGTGAACAAGCTGGAGCTTCCCCTTTTGCATCCCTGCTGTGGGCTTAAAAACTTCCAACCCTCTCCCTCCTGCCGCCTCCACCCTGCAGCCTGAAGAGAGAGCCCTGGTTTCTCTCTGCTCTCCTCGGGGCTGACTTCTGCCCCAACTAGTGTCCTCCTAGCATCTTCCAGCCGCTGGCAGCCTCCGGGCCTTTCTCTGGAGTGTTCCTTCAGGGAGACCTTCCTCCCAGATGCCTAGTGGGATTCCCTAGGCTTTGTCCACGCGGATTTGTTTCATTTCTGGTCCTGACCCTGAAGTATGGGGAGGTGTACTAGATCTTTAGGAACACCGGGGGAACGAACCCACCAAGCCCCCCCGAGGGAAGGCCTGCTGGTACCCCTCCCGCAATGTCCAGGCGAGGCTCAAAGCAAAAGCCACGTGTCCCGTTTGCAGTCACCCCGAAAGTGGTGGAACCAGACAGAGGCAGGCCCGTACCCAGAGTGCCCTCCGTCCGTCTCAGCGCGCAACCTGGGATCAAGTCTTGCCAACTGGCTGGACACTATACTCTTGGCAGGGTCCCCCAGCGAGACCACACGAAGACTGTCTCCTGTGTGTGCACAGCCCAGACGACCTCCTGCAGAGGCTCGGCATGGGCTGGTCCCTCCACAGCAAAGACGGGTTTTTGTCCTGTATGCGCTCTCCTGCAGAGAAGTGCATCTAAGGCAGGTTTAATAAATAAATTACTGCCCTCTGGGAATTCCCGCATTTTTCTTTAAAGATTTTATTTGCGGGTAATCTCTATGCCCCACATGGGGCTGGAGCTCACAATCTCGAGATCAGGAGTCCCATGCTCCACTGACCGGGGTGGCCAGGCGCCCCTGAATTCTGGCAGTTTTAAACCTAACCAGCTGGGTAAGAAGTGGTGATTGAAGGGAGGAAATTTCCCAGCAGGTAAGTACTTTAAAAGTTTGAGATGGTGACCACTTTCCTCCATTCGGTATCTGCCTCACCACACACATATACTTACGCACCTGCGGAAGGCCACCTCGAATATGGGGTGAGGCTAAGAATTTGGGGTTGAAAAAATCCTGAGAGCATCTCAGGTGAAGCCCCTCAATCTATCAAGGAAGAATCGGAGGCCCAAAGAAGGGCCTTGACTTGCTTGAGACGGTGTGTAGGGCTGGAGCTATACAGGTCTCGACTTCTGGCACAGACCCCGAATTGTCTTTGGGTTCCTATACCGATCCCTCTCGAGACACAGTGTTTTTGAGGTTCGCGAGGCCCTCCAGACCTGAAAGGCGTCACTACTTGTGCCAGTCGCGAGCCTGGAGAGGCCACCTGCCTTCGGTCATGTCTTCCTTCCAGTCCCGCAGTCTGCGGGGAGCAGGACGGCCAATCCCAGCTCCTCACCAGAGCTGCGGCCAGATGACGGGCCCAGGGAAGTTGAGCCACCCTTCCAGAGCAAAACACAAGGTTGGAAGCAGCCTCAGTGAGCATCTCACACCACCAAGCACGTTATACAAATGAGGAAACCGCTGCAGAGACAGAGAGGGACCCGCGTAGTTACACAGCAAGTCAGCAGCCAAGCACAGACTAGAGACCCAGGACTCCTGATTCCCAGTTCTAGCTCCTTTCTGGTGTCCAAACCCTTCGGAAGGGTCAGGTGAGAACAGACCTCTGGCAGCATGTGTGTGTGAGTGTCCAGACACTAATAAAAAATCCCAAAGAGGGGCGCCTGGCTGGCTCAGTCAGTAGAGCATGCAAATCTTGATCTTGACGTTGTGAGTTTTGTTTTTTTTTTTAAGTTCTTTTTTTTTTTTTAAAGATTTATTTATTTATTTATTTATTTGACAAACAGAGATTACAAGTAGGCAGAGAGGCAGGCAGGGAGAGAGAGGAGGAAACAGGCTCCCTGCTGAGCAGAAAGCCCAGGACCCTGGGATCATGACCTGAGCCAAAGGCAGAGGCTTTAACCCACTGAGCCACCCAGGTGCCCCTTGATGTTGTGAGTTTAAGCCCTACATCAGGCACAGTGATTACTTAAAAAAAAAACACACACACACAAAAAACTAAAGAGTTCGTGTGTGTGTGTGTGTGTGAAGACTCATTAAAAATCGTGACGAGTTTGGGGTGCCTGGGTGACGCAGTTAAGCATCCGCCTCTTGGTTTCAGCTCAGGTCAGAGATGGAGCCCTGAGTTGGGCTCCGTGCTCAGGATGGAGCCTGCTTAAAACTCTTTCTTCCTCTACCCTGCCCCCCCTTTCTTAAATAAACAAACAAAAAACAAATAAAGCCTGAGGACTTTATGTCTTCCCCTCCCTCCCCAGGGCCCTGCCTCAAAGACCTCAAGGCCCTAGGACCCTATAGCCCCACAGGTGTCAGGGGCAGAGGCCGGGTGTGATTGTTTCCACTCCTTGCCTTCCAGAGAAACTTGACGTCTGCCTCCTGCTTCAGCTGGGCTGCTCAGGTAAGGGCGGCGGGGCAAAGCTGTGAAAGCCATGCCGAGTTACACAGGGGTAGAGAGAGGGAGAGACGGAGAGAGAAAGAGAGGGAAGTAAGAGAATGGCTAATGCTAGGCTCTTTTGTGGGTTTTCTTTCTTTCTTTTTTGTGGATTTATTTTTTTGACAGGGTGTAGGGGGGAGGAAGCTACTGTCCAGGGAAGGATGGGACTGTGCGAAGGTGCTGGAAGCTTCCTAACAGCACCCTATGTAGACACATGTCAAACACTGTTGCACTGTGGTAAGTGGTGGGGGGCCGTGCACAGAAGGCCTCTCTGAGGACCAGCCACTGAAGCTGAGCCCTAGGAAGAGAAGGAGCCAGCGTGTGAGAAGGGGTACGTTTTAGGAAGGTCGGTTTGGTGCTGTCTGGAGAGCGGACTGCAGAAGACAGTGGGGAGGCAGGAGACCGCTCAGCTCCTATAGTCGTCCGGGTGCCAGAAGATGGTGGCCAGAGCCAGGATGACAGCCATGCCATATGTTTGGAAGATGGAGCAGTCAGGGCTTGCTGAAGGGCTGTTATATGTGGAGTGACGGAGGAGGGTCCAGGATGACTCCCAGTGACTTACATGCCTGGGTAGAGGTAGTACTATTTACACTGACTTCCCCCACCCCTCAAGGCAGGAATAGCCTCCCCTAGCATTCTAGAGAAGTCTGGTGATGCACGGAAGCTGAGGGCAAGGAGAGGGAGAAACAAAGAGGCAGGGTCCGGCATTGCAGGCCAGGAGCTGGAGGGCAGAGGGCTGGGAGACAAATACCACTCCTCAGGGCAGACAATACCGGAGGGTAAGGCCGAGCCAAACCAGCCCTAAGGAATGCAGGAGTGCCCAGGGCCCTTTGAAACACTAGGGAAGCTTGGTGCTGTGGGGGCTAGAGCTCAGACAGTCCCTTTGGACTTCCACTTTGCAGACCCGCAGCCCAGGGCCCAGGGCGAGGGGAAAACTTCCCTGGCTGACCAACCCCCTTCTTCTGCACAGTCCTGGGGGCTTTTAAAAATGGCCACATAAACGCAATTCCACTCTGGTAAAACGTTTCCAGTGCTTCCCACCGGTGTCCCTCATCGTTTGGCAGCCTCCATCCCTCTGCGAGGCTCACGGACCACTTCCCCGTACAAGGGGCAGAGCCCACGCGCCACTAACCCTCTCCTCTCGCTTCCCCAGCTAGGTACACCCTTCTACCCCTTTCAGCCCCGAGAATCTTCTGGTCTTCAAGGATGCATAACGGATCCTCAAAGCCAGAATGAACGGCCACTCTCCCCTCTGGGATCCTCCAGCAAACAGCTTTAATCTCTCTAGAGCTGGTGGTTTTGTGTCCGCGAGGATGGTCCAGCTCCAACCCCGGATCCACGGAGGCGCCGGGAAGACCGTACTAAGCTACGCAGGAGGGCTCGCCCGCACATCTCAGCGCTCCGAGCCCGGTGCTCGCCGGCTCACACCGGGTACCTCGTGCCCTGCGGCCGCGTCCGTGCTTCTCGTGCTCGGCGGCGCAGCCTCCGAGGTCCCGCAAAGCCCGGCCGTTTCCCCAGGGGCGCGAAAGGGCCGGGGCCGGCGCTCTCCGCTCGCGTGACGACTGCCGGGCCCCCTCCCCCACCGTGGACTCCGTCACGTGACCGCGGAGCCGGGGAGCGTTTTTCTCACGTGACGGAGGTGCCCGCGTAGGGGCCAATGAGAACGCGGGGGCGGGGCTTCCGGGGGCGGTGCGCGGGAAGGGAACCCCGGGCACCCGCGGCGGCGGGTGAGACCCGGAGCAGAGCTGCGGGCAGGCGGGCTAGGGCCCGCCGCGGGCCAGACGCCGGTCTCAGCTCCGTGGGAGGCCAGGCTCGGCCTCGGCGCCGGCGGCAGCATGAAGTGTCTGGTCACGGGCGGCAACGTGAAGGGTGAGTTGGGGGCGACCGGGTTTGGGGGGCGGGGGCACGTGGGACCGCCGGAGACGCCAGCCTAACCCCCGTTTCCTTTCTCCTCCCCGCAGTGCTCGGCAAGGCGGTCCATTCCCTGTCCCGCATCGGGGAGGAGCTCTACCTGGAGCCCCTGGAAGACGGGGTGAGGGGGTGGGTGGGATTACAGGCAGGAGCCAGTTTCTCCCCGCGTCAGGCCAGATGCCCTCGGGCAGAGCTGTCTGCCGAGTTTTCCCCCGCCGCGCGTGGTCGGGGCGTCAGCCTGGGCCCTGCCCTCTCCCCAGGCCGGTGTGTGAATCGAGAGCCACTGCCCTCCCTGAAGTGCCTGGTGGCGGGTGGGGGCAACTAGGGGGGAAAAGGTGGAGTGCGCGGACGGTTGTATAGGGCCCTTGCTGTGGGAGCAGTCGCTGCCGGGGACTCGGGGAGGGAAGGCTTCATGGAGAAGGCACCCGCTGACCGGAAGGAGAGGGAGGATTTCAACAGGTGATGGTGGAGGAGGCGGACGTTAGGACGAGTATGTGAGCAAAAGCCGGCCAGAGGGCAGGGCCTGACTCTGCCCCCTGATCGCGTCCCTCCCCCTGCTTTTCCTGGCCCAGCTCTCTCTCCGGACCGTGAACTCCTCTCGCTCTGCCTATGCCTGCTTCCTCTTTGCCCCACTCTTCTTCCAGCAGTACCAGGCGGCCGCCCCTGGTCAGGAAGCCCTGCGCTGTAAGATTTTGATGAAGGTGAGGCCTTTTCCTCACCAACTGTGCTTTGTGTCCCCTCTGTTCACGTGGTCCCCCCACCCCAAAATGTCTGCCCTGGGGGCATTCAAAAGGTGCTAACTGGGGAGAGGGATGTATGCAGGAGCAAGCAAGTGTAAAATGCGGTGAGGAGCATAAGAAAGACACCACAGAGGGTGATGGGAGATATGGTGAGGGTGACGGATTCTGCCAGGGACCTGGGCAGTGGTGACATTCACTTTGGTCCTTGAAAAGTAAGCAGATCTTTCAAGGCATGCCAGACTGGTGTGTAACAACTTGAAGAGGGGCCTGGAAGGGTGTAAACGGGCATGTTGTGGGCATTCCCTTCCGGTACGACAGTGCCGAGCCTGGGATGGCCAGGGCCTGCGTGGGATGAGAGAGCTGGTTGGTGGAGACACAGCACCGGGCTGATGTGTTCCCCCACTCAGTCATTCCTGGCCGCCTTCCGCTCACTGGCCACGGTGGAGAAGAGTGTGGAGAAATGCTGCATCTCACTGAATGGCAGGAGCAGCCGCCTGGTGGTCCAGCTGCACTGTCGATACGGTGAGTGGGCGGCCGGCCGGCCCAGGGGTGCCTGCAGTTAGTTGGAGGGGTGGAGGGCAGGTCAGCAAGGCCCACTGAGACCCTGTCTGCCCATCCAGGGGTGAGGAAGACTCACAACCTGTCCTTCCAGGACTGCGAGTCCCTGCAGGCCATCTTCGACCCAGCCTTGTGCTCGCATGTGCTCCGTGCCCCAGCGCGGTGAGTGTGTCCTCCAGCTACAAACCGAGCTGTGGGTCTTGTTTTTTCCTTTGGAGCTTCCAGGGTCAATTTAAGAAGACACCTTCTTCATCTTCTCTGCCTCTCTCTCAACCTCAGAGGGTTTATCCAGACCAGCCTGCTTTCACGTGTCGGTCTCGCTGTTTAAGGGCAGCGGCTGGAATGGAGGAGGGCACCGCTCTTTGCTCCTCGGTCTTCAGGAACCTGTGTTCTCCACCCCAAAGGTCCAGCTTGGCTTTCTGGCCACTTAGACCGCTTCTGACTCCTCTTTTTAGAAAGCATGTCTTTGGCTTCCCCTTAAGTCCTCTTTCCATGGCTTGAACAGCCTTGGATGTCCATCTCTAGCTTTGTGACTCAGGGGCTCAAAATTCTCCTCTGGTGGGGTCATCTTTCTGGGCCTGTTCTCCACTCAAGGGTAGTCTCTTTTCCTGTCTGCCTGGACTGTAGCTTTGAGGAGTCCACAGGCCGAGGAAGGAGGCTGGACAGGGAGGTCATGGTCCAGGAGGGCTGCCTGAATAAGGTGCTGTGGGGGCAGGGGTGTTCTGGGAAAATCAGAGTGGGGAGGCGGTGTGCCAGCCCGGGAGATGGGGACTCGGTGGAGGCAGAGGTCCCTGCCGAAGGCCAGTGTAGAGAGGGGTGGCTCTCCTCCCACCCTAAGCTGTGTGCTGCTTGCATTTGAATAGCCCAAAGTCGTGTTCATTTCTTTTTGTAGCCATGGGGTGTGATAATTTGAAGTTCCCTTTGGGTCCTGACGGTCTGTTATTTCTGAGTTCTGTTGAAATAATGCTGTTCAGGACTCCTTCAGGTAGAGAAAGAGGGACGTATCTCCGGTGGTCTGGATTTTGATGCTATTTTTTTTTTTTTAAACGAACAATTGTTTTTTTCTCATGGACAACTTCAAATTTGTGTGAAAGTGGATGCCTGCCCCTGTCCCAACGGTTGTGAGACAAATTCCAGATGTTATTTCATATGTACATATTTGTCAACATGTATCCCTTAAAGGCAAAGATTGAAGATCTTTTCTGTGGTCTCATTTATAGGGATGGCCCGGGTGGGCTTTCCCACCCCTGGGACGGCAGGTGCTGCTGGCCTGGTTTGGCTTTCTGTTGCCTCCTCTGGGCTCTGCCGTTGTCTGCCCCATCCCTTGCAGGGGACTTCTCTCCCCCAGCAGCCCCCAAAGAAAGCTTTGGATGGGGTAGGAGCCATGTCCTTCTCACCTTGTCCTTCCCGGGGCGTGCTAGGGCCGGCACATGGTGGATCCCCTCCGACATGGTACAGGGGTCACAGCCCTGCCTCAGCTCTTGTAAGAGCGAAGCCACGGGGCGGGGCTGAGCCTTGGGAGTGATGCTGTACCCCCCGCCCCGCACAGGGTCCTGGGGGAGGCTGTTCTGCCCTTCCCCCCCCGCGCTGGCAGAAGTGACGCTGGGCATTGGCTGTGGCCGCAGGGTCATCCTGCGCAGCTACCAGGAGGAGGAGGCAGGTGAGAGAGCCAGACGTGGCCTTAGACAGGGGGTTAGAGCTGGGGTGGGAGAGGGGAGGGTCCGGAAGCCCAGGCTCTCCTGTTTCTCCCTTGGCAGACAGCTCCGTCAGAGCCATGGTGACCGAGATGAGCATCGGGGAGGAGGATTTCCAGCAGCTGCAGGCCCAGGAAGGGGCGGCCATCACTTTCTGCCTCAAGGAATTCCGGGTGAGGTTCCCCCCAGCACACTCCCGCCACCGTCCTCCCCGCCCTGCCTGGGGCCTCACGGCTCTGCTTCCCCCTCCCAGGGCCTCCTGAGCTTCGCGGAGTCCGCAAACTTGTCCCTTAGCGTTCACTTTGATGCACCAGGCAGGTAATTCCCGGCCTCAGGTCAGGGAGGGGAGGCTCTGGGAAGCCGGGAGCCCAAGGGCCCTGACTTTGCCCGGGACCTGCCGTCTGCCTAGGCCAGCCATCTTTGCCGTCAAGGACTCCCTGCTGGACGGACACTTTGTCCTGGCCACGATGTCAGAGTCAGACCTGCACTCCCCAGCCCTGTGCTCCCCAGAGCCGCACAGGCTGGTGCCTCCCCTCCAGGCTCACAGGTGAGGCTGCCCACCTGCCGGCCTGCTCCTCCCCACCCCCATCCCTCCACACCCTGGCCCCCTGGCCGGAGCCTCCTGCCTGCAGCTTGTGCACCTCCCCCAGCACGCACACTTCCTGTCAAGCCCAGCCTCTCCGGCTCAGCCTTCCTGGTCAGCTGTGCTCAGAGAGCCCTCCTCCCACCCAAGTTAGTGTCCCCAAGGTCGGGCTGGCTTCCTTCTCTGGCTGAGTCCTCCCTTCTGAGCCTCTTCCCGGGCCAAGGAGGGAACAGGCTGCTGGGAGGCAGGGGGCTGGCTGGGGCTGGGGAGAGCAGGTGGCTGGAAGGGCAGGTGGGCTGGGGAGGACGACCGGCCCAGTGTAGCCAAAGCAGAGGAAGTTTGGTCTGGCCCCCCGCCCAGCACGTCCCTGGGCCCCAGTGCTCTCCAGCTCGGTCTCCGGGGAGGGCAGAGGCTTTGGCCCCAGGTGGCCTAGCTCAGAGGACTCGATGCTTCTCTACCCAGCTGAGCTAAACCGGCTCCCAGGATGCTTCCCTCAGGCCCCTATCTGAACTCCGGTCAAACGGATTCCAGGCCCCGCGCCTTGTAGGAAGCTGCCACTGAACCTCAGCATCTTTCCCCCAAACAAATGAGAAAGTCACGAAGCCCCGAGATCAGCAGTGGTCATGAGGCTTCTACTGCTCTCTCAGTCCTCTAAAGTGGGGTCCTGCCTCTATACCCTCTTCTGTGTGGCTCGCTGACACCCTCTCCCTGCCAGCAGCACGCCCCACCTGGATGACTTTGCCAATGACGACATCGACTCTTACATGATCGCCATGGAAACGACTGTGGACAGTGAGGGCTCTCGGGCAGGACCCTCCATTCCCCTTTCCCCCGGCCTCCGGCCCCCCTGTAGCCCTGGCCCCTACTCTGAGGACAATGATGCCGAGCCCAGTACAGAGCCTGGGACTCCCCCACCCAAGAAGGTAGGGATTGGAGATGGAGCGGGGGTGGGGGGGGGGGGGGTGGGAGGCAAGGAGGGAGCCTCCAGAACTCACTCCGCTTCCTCTGTTCCCTTTCCAGTTCCGCTCGCTGTTCTTTGGCTCCATCCTCGCCCCTGCACACTCCCCTCCGGGCCCCAGCCCTGTGCTGGCTGAAGACAGTGAGGGTGAAGGCTGAGCTGAGGACAAGCCTGTGTCCAGAGGCTCTGGACTAGATGAAGCTGCAGCTGCCCGCTTCCCCAGGCAGCAGCCCGGAGATAGGGCTGCTCTGTACCCGGCCAGTGGTCAGGGTGGGCTGTGCTGAGCTGAGCGCCAGTCCTGCTGCCACTCCAGGTGCCTCCTGGCTATCTGGACTAGCCTGGGTCCCGTCTTCTCATCAACTTCCAACCAATCATGTCTGTTCCTAGGCTTGGCACCGAGCTGCCCCCTGATGGAATGTCCCTCACCCATTACCCAGCCCCTCTGTAGGCCTTTAGGCCAGACTCCAACCATGTGGCTAGGGCTGGACACCTGCCTTCCCTAAGTGTACCTCCCTAAGACAAAAATCACAGAGGGGCTCTTGGCCCCTGCCGGTCTACCTTCTTTGACAATCATGACCTGTCCCTCCCCCAAATCCCGGGCACACCTTTGGGATCTCTTGTGGCCAGCTAACTTTTTCTTCCTTTCTCTGTGCCGTCTGGCCCTGGCTTGGGATTCTAAGTCCCTGTGGACCTGAGCCTATGGCTGGGATTACCCTGGCTGGGGCCTCATGCCCAGCAAGCCAGTCCTCCCAAGTGGCCCTGGATAGAAGGGCTGCCAGCCCAGTCCCTGGGACAAGGGAGACAGAGGCCATGGCGAGAATCCAGCTTTGACCTTTATTCAAGAGACCAGATGGGTTGCCCTAGGATCTGTCTGCTGGCCCTGAGGCCAAGCAAGGCTGGAAACCCACATCTGGCCCTGCTTTGCCCTGAGCTGCAGCCTCGGCCCCAGGATCCTGCGTGCGACCACTGCAGGTGCAGGCGGAAGGAGCCCTGGGGGATTGGACGCTGCTTTGATTCATTAAAAAAAAGAAAAATACACCAAGGCTCCGTGTTCCCCATGACAGGTGGGCCTGGGGGGCCAGCATGAACCACCCCCCACGGCCACATAATTTCTGTACAATCCACCACCTGGGGCAGAGTGCGGGCACGCAGAGGCTATTTCTTGGCTTTGGCGGAATTGCGGGGTGGGGTGATGGGCCGGCCTCCAGGGTTCAAGCCACTGAACTGCCCGTATTTCCCCTTGTTCTTGTCCGCGGGCTTGAGAATCTGAAAGAGACAGAGCTGGTCAGGCTCACGGTCTGAGCCACGGAGTCAGAGGCCACTACCTTTCCCATCCCCACCTGGAAAGAGCACATGAGCGTCTCGTCCACACTCATCATGGCGCCTGCATTGTCAAACTCGCCACAGTAGTTGGGAGCTGAGAAGAGGGTCACCAGCTGCCGCTTGGCAAAGAACTCATAGCCGTCTTCCACCACCTGGATGCGGATGGGGGAAGTTGGCTCAGCAGGTGCTGGCTACCCAGCCCCCGCGCCCACCCGCCCCAGAGCTGCCGGCCCACCTGGTGTGCCCGGCAGATGAGATCCAAGTCGTGCTTGTGCAGGAACTTGGCCACCACCTCGGCCCCAAATGTAAAGGAGACACCACGGTCATTCTCGCCCCAGCCCTGCACGTCCTTGTCAGGATCAGACCACAGCAGGTCACACAGCAGGCCCTGGTCAGGCACGTCTGTGGGCCGCATGATACGCCGAATCTGTTCCATGGACTGCAAGTCTGGGGACAGGCCTGGGGGAGCATGAGAGGGGACAGGTCACTTCCTCAAGCCTCAAAGACCCCCTGCCCCACAAAGCTTTTGCTGGTCAGTCTCCCCTCCACCTGCCACCCCCTGGCGCTCTCCTAAAGTCCCAGGAGTCCAGGCAGGCAGAAGTCATCCCCTTCGGCCTCAAGGACCACAGAGCTCTCTGAACAAAGGAGACACAGTCCACACACAACGCCAAGGCCAAAGTGGGGGAGAGTGGAACGGAGTACTGGGGAGGGGTGGTGGGGGCTTCCTGGAAGAAGTGACAAGCAAAGCCGGAGCCCTGGGAGAGCTGGGAATACATCAGCCCCCCAGCCCCCAGCCTCCTCCCAGGGCCCCCGGGGATGTGGCCCAGGGGCTCTTCCTTCCCTCACCTCCGTGGCAGCAGAAGATCTTCTCGTCCACGATGGCAGCGATGGGCAGGCAGTTGAAGCAGTCGGTAAAGGTTTTCCACAGTTTAATGTTGTAGCGTCTCTTGCCTGTCGGGAGCAATGACAGGCCTCAGGAGGCCTGTCTGCCGCACACCCAGCCTGGGTCTCTGGGCCCTCCAAGGCACTCGGCGCTAGACACAGCTGGGAGCAGGCAGTGGCAGACAAGAAGAGACGCCCCCTCCCCCGTCCCCGCTGCCTACCAGCCTTCCTAGAATTCTAAAGCAGCTGAGTCCACAGGAACCTGAGCTCCACCCAGGGAGCAGGCCAGGCCAAGACGAGGTCTGGTTTATCTCAGCTTCGGGTGGGCAGATTCCAGTCCAGAGAGGCATCCTAAGTGCTTAAGGGATGTGCTGGAGGGGAGTGTCATGAGGCAGGGCCCTGCATGAGGACACTGGGCAGTCTTTGTCAGCAGCCATTCACCAGACCGACCCCTCCTGGGCGCCAGACCCCAGGCCAGGAGGGCAGAGGCGTCCCCTGTAGAAATCTCAGTCTGCAGTTATCTGTAGACACCGGTAACTTTACTGCCAACCCAACGTGAGGGTCTCACTGGACAGCCGAGTCACTTAAGGACTTGGAAAGCCTACTCACACTCATCATAGAAGCCGTAGATGCGGTTGATGCTGGCACACTCGTGGTTCCCACGGAGCAGGAAGAAGTTTTCGGGGTACTTGATCTTATAGGCCAGCAGCAGGCAGATGGTCTCCAAAGACTGCTTGCCCCGGTCGACGTAGTCCCCCAGGAAGAGGTAGTTGCTCTCTGGAGGGAAGCCACCGTACTCAAATAGCCGCAGGAGGTCGTAGTACTGGCCATGGATGTCACCTGTGACCCAGGGGACTGGTTCAGCGCTAGGGGCAGGGGCCACACTTGAACCCAGGGCCAAGTTTGGGCGCCAGGGAGGAGCACTGCAAGGACTTGGGGGGCAAGGGACGGGGAACGCCACTTTCAGAAAGCAAAAGGGGCCGAGACGGAGGGGGGGCGGGGGGCTCACCGCAGATCTTGAGGGGTGCCTCCAGCTCCAGAAGGATGGGCTGGCTCAGGAAGATCTCCCGTGATTTGAGACACAGACCACGGATCTCGTTCTCTGTAAGCTGTACATTCTTTCCAGGCCGCGAGCCCTGCACTGGGGGCGGAACAGGGCATCAAGACTCTGGTCCCTCAGGCAGGAGAAAGGTGGGAGACACAAGTGGCCCTGTTGGCACAGCTGAGGGCGCCTGGGTCTCCTCGGCCCTTCCTTGCCCAGGGGCAGCTGTTGCTGCTGAGCCTCCCAGGATGGGACCCCTCGAGGGGGTCCGCTGTGCGTCGGGGGGCCTGCCACCCAACAGCCCAACCCACAGCGCACGATCCCTGCGAGGGGTGGAGCTAGATTTCTTATGTTTCTCCTCCACCCCCAGGAGCACAGGCCAACCTGTGCACCCCCAGCCCAGGAGAGGGGGTGCTCCCCGTGCCAGAGCGTCCCCGGAACGTCCCAAGCGCCCCGCGCCTTGGGGGGGGCCAGCTGTGGACGCGGGTCCTCGAGGCCCGTCCCCGCCCAGTCTAAGCTGGACCTGGGAGGGGCAGGCCCGCCCGCGCACCACTTCCGGGCCCGGCAGGGGGCCGGGGCGCGGCGGGCACCGACGTCCCCCGCCCCAGCCAACCTTCCAGCAGGCGCCCGATGATAGAGTCCAGGTTGAGCTTCTCGCTGTCGGACATGGCGGCGCCGCCGCTCCGGCCCAGCAGCTCCGGGCCCAATCCTGCCGCCCGCCCTCCCGCTGCCTCCTTCCGGCCTGGCGCTCCTTCCGCCCGCCCCGGCCCGCCCCGGCCCGCCCCGGCCTGCCGCCCCGCCTCGCCCCGGCCTGCCGCCCCGCCTCCTAGGCCTGCCGCCCCGCCCCGCGCGCTGCCCCCGCGCTCTAGCGCCCCCTCTGGACGCCGGGCGCAGCGGCCGCGGAGGTCTGGGGGGCGGGGCATAGGGGAATGGGCGGGTCTTGGGCTGGGTTTGGTCTGTCTACGACGAAGCCTGGCCGGTGGGTGGAGCTTGGCGGGGCGGGGTTGAGTCTCGTTCCGCCCCTAGGAGTGACCCGTTCCGAGAACATGGGGCCGGAAGTACCGTGAAAGTTGTTTTTTTCTATCAAAGGCTAACCAGCCGTTCCCACCCTGGGCGGGAGTGTGGTGTGTGCACATTAAAAACCGATTCTCCAAACGCTGCGGATTAAGTCATCGAAGTGCCAAAAAGGAAACTGAGACTCAGAGATAGCAGGGGGCTGGTCCAAGACCCTGGCATCCACCTCCTGAGTCTCTGTGGCCCCCAGGCAGCCGGCCAGACCCAGCCACCTGCTGCTACACTCTGAACCCAACTTGGTCCGCCCTGTGGTGCACGCTAAATTAGTATTTTTTGTAAGAGCCACTGTTACCTGCTGAGTGCATACTAATGCCGTATTATGTGCATATTCAAAACATTACCTTGTAAAAAGCAAATATTGAATAAACCATAATTCTCACTGGAATCTTAAAAATTTTAAAATACTTTATTTATTTGACAGAGAGAGAGATCACAAGGAAGCAGAGAGGCAGCCAGAGAGAGAAGCAGACTCTCTGCTGAGCAGAGAGCCCAATGTGGGGCTTGATCCCAGGGCCCTGAGACCATGACCTGAGCCAAAGGCAGACTTAACTGACTGAGCCACTCAGGTCTCCTTGGAATCCTGAATTGCTTTACAAGCCGATAACCTCAAAACTGGAGGGGGCCTGGCCTCTGTATGGCGAGGGTGGGTCCTGGCCCCTTCACACCCACCGCAGGAACCCAAGTCTGCAGCCATTCAGCCCATGAGGAGGGGAGGGGAGGGGCCCACAGCCCTGGGCAGGCCGGAAGAGCCTTGGAGAGGAAGGGGTGATCACCCCCGCCACACACTTGGGAGGGGAGTGTGGGAGGGGCCCCCCAGCTGGTTGCTGAGGCTGCCCGGAGGAGGAAGTGAGAGGAGGAGGTGAGGTGCAACAGGGAGGTAAGCTGGCCTGGGGGGGCAGGGGCTGAGTCTGGGGCTGGGCCTCCATCCAGAAGCCTGGCTTTTCTGCCACTTCAGGGCCCTCCCCCCACCCCAATAAAAGAAGGGCCAGAAGGGGCTTGGTGAGATGCCTTGATGCCTCTCCCCTCTGAACCCTGCAGCCAGGTCCCTGGGCTAGGGATGGGCTGGATGGGAGCCCAGGTTCCAGGCCGGCCAGAAGCAGCCTCTCACACTGGCTTTCTCCACATCCTACAGCCCGTGGTAGCTTGGGTCTGGGGCACCATGGCCCAGGCCCTGGGGGAGGACCTCGTACAAACTTCCGAGGGGCAGGATGACTCCAGCTCTTTGGGGTCTGACTCCGAGCTGAGTGGGCCCAGCCCATATCGCCAGGCTGATCGCTATGGCTTCATTGGGGGCAGCTCAGCAGAACCAGGGTAAGAAGGGAAGGGATTGGGGGGCAGTGGGGTGCTGGGATTGAGGTTGGGGGCTGAGGGCTGAATTTTGGAGTGAGGCTCAACCTCGAGGGTCCTGGAGGGTCTGGGAACTCAGTCAGTGTCACCCCTCTTCATGCGCCAGGTGGAGTCCTAAAGCTGGCAGGGACAAGGCAGCAATGTCCCTCATATGCCTCTTTTACCTCCAACCTCTCAGACTTTGCACCTATCCTTGGAGGCAAATAGTCTTCCCCTATTAATCTGCCCCCAAAATCCCAGCACCCAACCAAAGAACCCACACCTCTACCTCTCCCCTCTCCCTTTTCCAATATACAGACAGGAAAACAATCCAGATAGGAACTTGCCCAAGGTCACACAGCAGATCAGATGGAATCAGATTAGAACTCAGGACTCCTGGCTTCTAGTCCACGGCTCTGTCCACCTTGCTTCTCTTAATGAGTTGTCTGTGTTCCTATCTTAGGGGACAGCCAGACGGTCCCTCCCCCAACACACATCTACACACCCCCTTCAGTATCTCCTGCTTCTGCCACATCAGAGCCACATCCTTTCCTATCCCTATGACAACCACTGGCAGCTCCTGGGTGACAGATTACCCCCCCAGGGCTCCCCAGAGATCTCCAGGGCCAGGAGCTGAGTTTCCCGGGACAGCATGGAGGATGGCAGATGTGGGCCCTGGGTAACGGCTAGCCAATGCCCCCGTGCCTGTGCCATGTGCCCGCAGGCCAGGTCACCCTCCTGCAGACCTTATCCGCCAGCGGGAGATGAAGTGGGTAGAGATGACCTCGCACTGGGAGAAAACCATGTCTCGGCGGTACAAGAAGGTGAGGGGAGCATGGGGCTCCCTGTCTCAACCCGCTTTCCCTCTGTCCCTGTCCTGGTAAAATTTACCCCTCCTGTGTCCCAGCACCTCCTGCCTTTGTCTCCCCTCCCACCCAAAGTGCCCCTTGCCCCGTGACAGGCTGGGGTTGGGATGTGCCAGCAGGAGCGGGGGATGCTGGCCTGGCTCATCTAACTTGGCCTTGGCCTCACCCGCAGGTAAAGATGCAGTGCCGGAAAGGCATCCCCTCGGCTCTGCGGGCCCGCTGCTGGCCCCTGTTGTGCGGGGCCCATGTGTGTCAGCAGAACAGTCCAGGCACCTATCAGGTAACTGTTGCCAGGGGTCCCTGTCTCCCCTTTCCAGAGCCCCTCACCACTCTGAGCCCTCACACCCACCTTGCTGTCTGCCCGCAGGAACTGGCCGAAGCCCCTGGAGACCCACAGTGGATGGAGACCATCAGCCGGGACCTGCACCGCCAGTTCCCTCTACACGAGATGTTTGTGTCGCCCCAGGGTCACGGGTAGGCGGCCAGTGACACCGAGGGACCTCCAGCCCCACAGCCTCCAGGGCCATCAGCCTGGACCCCTACCATAGCTTTATAGCCTGGGAAGAGGCCCCCTGAGGGTGGGGGAGGGGAACACGGAGGACCGGCCCTGATGGGGTCTCCTGGCACAGGCAGCAGGGGCTCCTGCAGGTACTCAAGGCCTACACCCTGCATCGGCCTGAACAGGGCTACTGTCAGGCCCAAGGCCCTGTGGCCGCTGTGCTGCTCATGCATCTGCCCCCAGAGGTGAGTGCCCTCGACCCCAATCCAGAGGCTTGGGACCCTGAAACCCCAATCCCAGGGATCCATGACCCCCAACCCTGGGGACTTGGACTTCAGGCCCCTGAGACCCTTGACCCACATCCTAGTGACCTATGGACCTAGTCATCCGGGCTCTGGATCCATGACTGCCACCCCCCCAACCCCAGGAACTCTGGACTCAGGGACCTGGGATCCTTAAATCCCAGATCCTGTCCTAGCGACCTAGGGCCTCATGACCACCAACTTCAGTGACCCTCAAGCCCAACGACATTGACTCCAGGAACCTGGGACCCTTGGCCCCTGCTCCCTGCCCCAGTGACCTCATGATTCCCAGTTCTGAGCCCTGTGACTATTATCTCAATGACCCCAAGAGCTCAGGACTTGAACTTTGGGACCCTCCCAACCCTTGACCATCGAGCCCAAATCTGTGACTCTGAAATTCAACATCATGAACCCTATGACTTCCGACTCCCTAAACCCACGGATAGGCCTCTGGCCAGTGGGGAGACTTTCAGTAAGAGCCGGAGCTTAGGCTCCAGGCTCAGAGTCACCCCGGAGGGTACAGAGGACCCTTCCCTGTGCTCCTTTCCCTTACCCTGCGGTTCCTTCTGTGATCCCCTGGGTGGGGGCGCTTATGGCCTGTGCCCCTACCCAGGAGGCCTTCTGGTGCCTGGTACAGATCTGCGAGGTCTACCTCCCCGGCTACTATGGGCCCCATATGGTGAGAAGCTGGGAGGGGGCCAGAGGGCGCGGGGAGGGACTGGGCAGGCGGGCAGGGCCCGGGCAACGGAGAGGGGCAGGGCCTGGGCTTCAGGAGTGGACGTGCTGATGGACGTGGCTGCAGGAGGCCGTGCAGCTGGATGCCGAGGTGTTCACGGCTCTGCTTCGACGGCTGCTCCCGCGCGTGCACAAGCACCTGCAGCAGGTGGGCGTCGGGCCTCTGCTCTACCTGCCTGAGTGGTTCCTGTGTCTCTTCGCCCGCTCCCTGCCCTTCCCCACCGTGCTGCGTGTCTGGGACGCCTTCCTCAGCGAGGGTGAGTGGACAGCTGGAGGGGAGGCGTGGCCTGGGCTGGGAGCCTCAGGGTGAGCACAGGGACGAGAGTGCCAGCTCCGCTCTGCCCCACCTGCCACTGCCAATCCTGGTCCTGGCCGCGGGTGCCAGAGCGTGCCGAGGCTGATGGCGTCGGGTTGGCTCTGGGGGGAGCAGCCCAGCCCCCGCCTGCCATGCCATGACTGGCTGCCCCTGCCTTTGTGACGAGACTCCCAGAGGGAGGGAGGCTCTGCTGGGGGCGGGCTGGGGCCAGGGAAGGGCTCCCCGCACAGGGATGTGGAACAGAGCTGGGGAGATCCCAGCAGCGGAGCTGTTCGGGGACTGGGCTCAGTGAGCATGGCCAGTGCCAGGGACAGGGCCTGTAGGAGTGGAAGAGCAATGGGTGAGCCCTCGCTGTGCCCTGCATGGCTGTAGGACGCCGGGACCGCTGCGTGAACGACGCTTACATTCTGGTGAGGGTGGGGATGGGAGCCAACAGCAACCAAGTTAACAAGATATTTATAGGGGCGCCTGCCTGGCTCCATGGTGGAGCATGTGACTCTTGATCGCGGGGTCGTGAGTTCAAGCCCCACGTTGGGCACAGAGCTTTTAAAAAAAAGGTATTTATAGATTGTAATAAGTGCCATGAAGAAAATAAAACAAGGGGTGTGACAGAGTGTTAAGGGAACAGTAGGAGGAGAGTGCTGTTTCCAAGATGCTTTTGGCCTCTCCATGGGGGCGGCAGACTTGCAGGGCGCCATGGAGGTCGGGAGGCCAGGAGAGACACTGTCCACACGGTCCAGGCTGCTGCCAACTTGGGGGTGTGGGTGTGGAGAGAGAGGAAGCCAGATAGGTCAGGCCAAGAGTGGGGGGAGTTTGGGGCAGAGCTGAGTGGGACGTTTTAGGACTTTGGGGCTCTGTCTCGGTACCCCCATCAGTGACCCACTTGCGTTCTGTTCTCTATGGGTTGTCTGGCAGTTACAACTGAAAAATGGCATTAATCAGTCAGTACGTTTATCGAGCACCTACTATGTGCCCAGTTGGCTACAGGCACCCTTAGAGCTCTGGTCACAGGTGTCCAAGCTGCCATCTATGTGTCACCACCCCTCCAGCCCCAGATCTCAAGGACCAGGCAAGGCAGGCCGAGCCCTCTTTGTCCTCTCCACCGAGCACAGGACAGGCAATGTCATAAGCTCTGTTTCGTCATGGAGATGACACGAGTGGTGGTGATCATTTCTTTATGAGGCACGGTTGTCACTAGGCCTCAGTGGTCCCCAGACTCGAGGCTACCTGGAAGGGATTCTGAGGCTGTGGGACAGCCCAAGTTCACACCTGCGCGTGCCCGTGAGCGTGCATGCTTGGGTGTGTGCTCGCCTGCTCTATGCTCTTGGCTTAGCGGCAAAGAGCTCTGGCGAGAATCTCTCTAGAAAGAGAAGGTCACAGAACTGAGCTGGAAAGGCCTTCTTCACAGGGACCAGCTGCCGAGACGCAGAGAGCAGGTGTGGGGAGTTGTGTCCCCTGGCTGCTGGCACGCTGCTCTGCCCGGAAGCATCAGCCCCCACGTCGCGGTCCCACTGTCACTGCTCCTGGTCTGAGTCAGGCTGCAGAGCTGCAGGAGGGTGGAAGGCGTCTGGCGGAGGGCAGGGTCAGGTACAGAACCGAGGAGGGGCAAGGTCGGCCCTGCACTGAGTGAGCCCCCCGGCCCGCAGGCGTGAAGGTGCTATTCCGAGTGGGGCTGACGCTCGTGCGCCTGGCGCTGGGCACCACAGAACAGCGCCTGGCCTGCCCCGGGCTCCTGGAGACCCTCGGTGCCCTGCGAGCCATCCCACCCACCCAGCTGCAGGAGGAGGTCTTCATGTCCCAGGTGGGTGCCCCCCCGCCACCTTGCCTTCCACAATGGCCCAGCCCCTGCTGCTCAGGTGGGGAAACTGAGTCACGCAGCCAGAAGTCAGAGTGAGCCCTGGGGCTCAGTTCCTGTCCTCTGAGCAGCAGAAAAGCTGAAAACCCCAGGCTTCAAGTAGCTTTCTACGGTTCCCTTAGTGAGTCTGGCTGTCAGTCCCTCAGCCCTCAGCCACTTCCTGGAGCTGTGTCCTGCCCGCCCTGTGGGGACCTCACAGTTTCCTGCCCCACCCCCCCAGTCTGGGCACACTCACTACCAGCCACTCCCCACAGGTGCACAGCGTGGCCCTGTCTGAGCAGGACTTGCAGCGGGAAATCAGGGTCCAGCTGGCCCGGCTGCCTGAGTCCACGTCCGGGCCGCCCCCCAGGCCTCAGGCCCGCCTGCCTGGGGCCCAAGCCATCTTTGAGGCCCAGCAGCTGGCAGGGGTGAGAGGAGGCACCAGGCCCGAGGTGCCCCAAATCGTGGTGCAGCCCCCAGAGGAGCCCAGGCCCCCGCGGCGCAAGCCCCAGACCCGAGGAAAGACCTTCCATGGGCTCCTGACTCGGCCCAGGGGTCCCCCTCTCGAGGGCCCCTCCAGGTCTCATCGAGGCTCCACCTCCTTCCTGGATACCCGGTTCTGAAGGTTCGACTTCTGAGGGCATCATGGACTCAGTGTTCCCGAAGCCCGATTGCTCGATGGGCTGATGCCCGCCTCAGAAACGGGCCCTGCACTTTACCGCTGGGGTCTGGCGTCTCCCTGGCCAGGGACTGTGCGACACGAGGATGAAGGAAGGCCACGGAGTGCGGTGTCGCGGGTCCGGGCCTGCCATTCTCCCGCAGAGCCATCCTGGTGCGCCCGCCCTCGCAAACATGGAAGCAGGCACCGAAGGAGTGTGGGGTGCAGGGCACCTGGCTGGGCTAGGGGACCCCAAAGGGCTCCTGGAGAGGCCTAGAATAAAGGCTCACTGAGCAGAAGCCTGGATAGATTTGGATTGAAGGCTCCCCACCCCCTTCTCCTCCCACCCTCACCACCGACCACCCCAGCCCTGCCTCTCTGTGCCCCCCTCCCCGGGTTCCCACGGGACACACCGAAGCTGCCCATTGGCTGCTGAAAGCTGTTTACCAGCCACAGGATCCAATGGGGAGCCGCCTCGCCCAGCGCTCTTGCGGGCAGGTAAGGCTCTGGCACCTGCGGGAGGAAGGGTCCCCAAGTGGAGGCTGGGCTCCAAAGTGGGGGTCTACTTCCTACTCCTCCCCTCCTCCCAGGTTGGTTCAGGACCCCCAGGGGCGGGGGGACTCTAACCCAAGTCTGCCCCCCACCCATGGTCCTGTCCGGCTCTCAGAGACAGCCAGGCCAGAACAAAAGCCTACTGTACCAGGACAAAGGAGAAAGGTCCCACAGGCCCTTGCCCACCCCCAAAGCTCTGGTTGCGCCCCCTCGGGACTGCCACCATGGAAACTCCCTCCCACACTTGATAATTGCCCCTGTGGGTGCCTGGGGTACCCGTGACATGAGCCATCACCAGGACAACAAGGCAACAGGGCTGGCTCCCGTACCAGCTTATGTCCCTACAGTGCCCGTTCCAGGGTGCTTTGCCTCCCTGGGGGCCTGCCCCAGCATGGGGGAGGGTGGCAGGGCATGGCAGGACTTTGGAGCAGTGGGAGAAAGCGTCTGGACTCCTGTTTCCATGGTGGAATATTCAACCTGCGTTTCCCAGTGGCTGTGCTGGAACACTGGCCTGGCTGCTGGTCAGAGCCCTGATTTGGAATGCTCTGGTGACAGGGCACTCGCTCTTACATATGTTCATTTGGTGCTTAGTATGTGCCTGGCCAGGCCCTGGGTCTCGGGCAGACCATCCCATACCCGAGGGAGCCTACCGCCGAGAGGAGGGAACATAGAGGTCCAGACTCAGGTCTGCAGAGTTTCCTGGGGGAAACTGAGGCTCGGGAGGGGAGGACTTTTAGCCAAGATCTCACAGCACGTGGCAGACCCCAGGTTTACCCCTGCCTCCACATCAGCAGCCATGAAACTGTCCCCTAAAACTGGGCGCTCACCCAGGTCTGTCCTCCTGGAGATGCTCTCTCTCCTGCTCCCACCCATACTCTTGGCCCTGCCCCAGCCTGAGTCCCAGCTCCTTGGAATGTGGGGCAGCATCTGGGCCCCTGGGAGTTAAAGAGAACCTCCAGGGCCCTCCCTCCCTCATCCCTGCCCCACTAAAGTACCTGTAGCTTAAGTATAACCCACTCGCCCACACTTCCCAGAACCTTTTCTCGGATCCCCTCCCCCTCTGCAGGCAGCACTGATAACCTCACTAGAGAAAGGGGAAATGGAGTGCCCAGCCCAAGATCACTGTTGGGGGTTAGAGCCACTAGAGTTCAGGTCTTTGTGCCTTCTGGGCAATACCTTAGCTTTAGGGCATCAAATGCAGTCCAGGCTTTGCAGCAGGTAGGGTGGGGGGACCTACCCCTGGAGTCAGCTCCTAGACTCCCTGCCCTCCAAGGGCTCAGCTCTTCTGCTCGGAGGGTGGGGAAGCAGGAAAGCAGCAACCTCAGCCCGGGCCCGGGAATCTGTCATGAGGCTGGGAGGGGGGCCATGGTGACAGTAGGTCCCACTGGTCATAGACCCTAGGGGCAAATGCTCTCCGGCAGGAGTCCTCCAGCTAGGGCTGAATCAATGCCTTTTCTGCTCAGGGAAGCATTTTCTGGGCAGGTGCCATTATCAAACATCTACGTGGGGACCCTGAAGTGGGTAGGGTGTGGGGGTGTCAGACCAGAAGAAAACTAGCTCCCTCCTCGTGTGAACACTTTTCTGTACACATTGTCCTCCTAAGGCTGTGCTGGCCCCTACAGCACCTGCGTGCTAGTTGGGAAAAGACATCTCTCCTCCAGCCACACACACCCCTGTGTGGCAGAGGGGGAAGTGACCACTCTGAGCTGGGAGCTTTTGTGCAGTGAGCAACCTGAACAACCATACTCAGCAAACCTGGCAGTCCCAGCTCCCGACAAACCTGCTTGGAAGTGGGGCTCGGGGAATCTGATGGCACTCCGTCTGCAGGGACTGAAGCTGGGATGGCACCCAGAGATGTCCATTGGCCTGGGTCAGCCCCGGGGACAGGAGTGGGGGCCAAGCAAAAAAGTGAAAGGACAGGGGCTCTTGGCTGGCTCCATCAGAAGAGCATGTAACTCTTGATCTCGAGGGTGTTGAGTCTGAGTCCCACATTAGGTGTAGAGATTACTTAAAAATAAATAAATACACTTTTTTAAAAAGCAGAAGGGCAGATGGATTCCCACCTTGTCGTGGGGAAGGGTGCATGGTCTCCCTCTTGCACTCCCACGCACCCCAGAGAGTCCCCATCCCCACGCTGTCCAGAAGCCAGACTCGGACTCCCTGCAAAGTCCCTGTATAGGAAATGTCCTCTCGCTGTCTGAGCTCGATTTTCTCCTATAGATAATGAGATAAAAGCTCCCACCCCAGCCCCAAGATCGCTCTCTGTGCGGTGTGTACACGCTCCGGCAGATGGAAGACCCCAGCTCTGCCTCTCACCAGCAGCATGGTCAAGACCTGAGCTGAGATCAAGAGCGGGACACATGACTCTTGACTTTAGCTCAGGGGCTGTGGGATCGAGCCCTGCAACTGGCTCCAGCTCAGCCTGGAGTCTGCTTGCGATTCTCTCTCACCCTCTGCCCTCTGCCCCCACTCTTGCGCACACTCTCTCTCTAAAATAAATAAGATCTTAAAAAAAAAGAAGAAGAAGAAGAGTCAGACTCTTAAGCCACTGAGCCACCCAGGTGCCCACAGAAATGGAATCTTTAACAAGGATCAGGACTCACCTGCCAGCACTAGTTAGGTCACCTGATGGACCTCTGCCATCCCCTAAAGGAAGGCGACCTTGCAAAACCCAACCCACTCTTTTGCCAGTACAACATCCTTGTCCTTGCTCCCTTCTGCCTATAAGTCTTTCATTCTGCTCAGAGCTCCTTCCTCTCTTTGCTAGATGGGCTGCTGCCCAGTATGTGAATTGTTGAGTAAAGTCAATCAAATCCCTAACAATTATTCAGTTGAATTTCAGTTTCTAACTCTTGTTAAGTGCTTAAGCTCATGCTTCTTGATGACATCTGGGTCCTCTGTTTCTACCAGTGGGATAGCGGTGGGGATCAGGCAACCCATGCGACAAGAGAATGGACTTCTCTAGTGGCCACACCTCATTCCAGGGAGGGCGTCGAGCAGCCAGCCCTGGAAAGCTGTGTGGGGAATGTGGGCTGGGCTGGACGGACGCTGGATGAATCATTTCTCCCCTCTGAGTCCCTTCAGTGGTAGACAGGGGTGGGTCCTCTGTACAGCCAAAGCCTCCACCTCAGCCCCCACAGATGCCACAGGACCCCAGCCCAGAAGGTTCTCAGGGACAGCCATGGAGTCTCCAACTCAGAGACAAGCAGGGAAAAGCTGTGGGTTTGAGGCTGTAAGCTGTTGGGATTGTAATCACAGGCTATGTGTGGTGCATGTGCAGGGGACCCTGTACTAACCCTCCCCACAGTCCTAAGAGATGGGAACTAGCCCCGTTTTAGGCAGGAGGAGAGTGAGGTTCAGACCAGGAAAGGGAAGTGCCCAGGTCCTACAGCTGGCGCTAGGATTGACACCTGCCTCCTGTGACACTCAAGGAGAGGGTGTGAGTCCCTGAATGTGTGGTCATGAGCCGGGTCTCTTGAGGTGTTTTCTGTGGGTGCTTGGGTAAGCGAACCTGGGGTAAGGTCGTGTGTCCTGGGGAGACTGGGTGTCACTGCAGGCACGTCCAGCAGACGTGGGTGTCAATGGGCAAGACAGACCCAGTACACACCCCCTTTCCTGGGCTCACATCCACTGGAACCCTGCAGCTTGGGCACCCCCTTCCCTCTTGGCCCCCTGCAGGGCGTAGGGTCTCCTGGGAAACTGGGCCTGCTCTTGTGGGGTCCTCTTACTGACTGATCCCCACTCTGACGGGGGCCAGGAGAGGTGAGGCAGGAGCCCCACAGAGGTACAGGGACCCCCGTTCAACCCGGCCTTTCTGGGAGAGTCTGGCTTAGGGCACAGTGCTCATGGCTGAGGCCGGCTGCTGGGGGCTGGGTGTGCTAGGGCGCTCAGGACTCCATCCAGGGGCAGGACTCCAGATCCTGTGCCCTGACTAATCTCCTGGCCACCCCACCCCCAAAGGCCAAGGGCAGCCCTGACACCCCTCTCTGCCCTCTCCTGCTCTCCTCCTCCCCTCCTCCTCTCTCCGGCTCCCTTTCTTCCATCCCGCTTCCATTCCGGACTCTCTGTCTCTGTCCCTCTGTCCCTCGCCACAGCCCTGCGGCTGTGATCCTGTTTCCCTTGGTCTGCCCTCACTCCAGGCTTCACCCGGAGCCCAGGTGTCGGGCTGGGTGGCGGGTGTCTGCACCGGAGCGGGTGCCGGCCGGGGCCCCGCGCCGCCCCCGCCCCGCACTGGGCATGCCCCGGTCGCTTCTATATAAAGCGGCGCCGCCCGCTCCCGCTGTGCCGCCGCCACTGCCGCAGCCAAACCCCCGCCGCTGCGCGCCGCCCGCCTGCCCCGCCGAGCCGCTGCAGCCCTCCAGGTACCCCGGCTCCTGCCCGCACCCCCAGGAGAGCCAGGGAGGGGGGCCAGGGGCCAGGCGCCAGGGGCCGTGCGGACCCAGCGCGCCCCCCGCTGGAAGGGCGGGATGCTAGGACCCCAATGGGGCCTGGCGCAACCCGCAAGGCTTGAGCTCTGGAGGTGGGGGTGGGCAGGACCCCCGGGGTCCGGGCCGCAGAAATCCCACCCCCTTGGGTTGGGGGTGGGGCAGCTTTGGACACATGCCAGGGTCAGGACGCTCGGGACTTGTCAGCCACCTCTCTGTTCCAGAGTCTTAGGGGCTGGGCAATGGGGTGCAGACCACGCTGCCCTGACTCCCTCCTTTGTCTCTTTCTGTCTCTGCCATCAGTCTCTCAGCCACTGCACCTGTAAGATGGTGAGTCTCCTCTGCTCCTTCCCCTCAAAAGGCCCAAGCCCCTTGTCAGAGGGAGGGCTCAGAGGGCAGCGTTTGGCACCCAAAAGCCTCACCCTGGGGGCTCCCCTGTGCAGACAGCTCAGACCTATGGCCCCGGGTGCGTGGGACATGCAGCTGCTGCGGGCTGGGCACTTCTGGCTCCCCCAGCAGCCTCGGGGACGGGCACGTGGTCCCCTTTGGCGGTCATTCATTCCACAACACCTCTTGAGCCCCTGCTATGCAACTGACACCATTCTAGGCTTGGGGATATCGCAGTGAGAGCACGGTCTGGGCTCTCAGGGGACGCGCACCTTCTTCTTCTTTTTGGAACACACCTTCTAAGAGAAGGCACAAGGCTCAGAATTTGAACTGGTCAGCCTGGATTCGAGCCCAGGTCTCAGGCGCAGACGTGCCCTCCCGGACGCAGCACACTGCATCCCCGTGACTGAAGGCTAAGCCTCACTGGTCTCCTGGGGTGGGACGGGGCAGGTGCCAGGCCCTCCAAGGCCAAAGAAACCTTGTAACTTACCCAAGGTTGCTCAGGCTGTCCCCCGGAGGATAAGCCCACTACTGTCCCCACCTATGGTCACACAGAGTCTGAGTAGCCTCATTGGGAGTTAGTCTGCCTCAGAGAGGGGCAGGGGTGTAAAATGTCATCCAAAGAAAGCATTGCTGTGACTCAGAACATCTGCAAAAAGGGCACCAGCTTTTTCCCCTACCAGTGCACTGCACAGGGCTGGCCACACAGTAGGTCCTCAAGGCCTACCTGGGTGGCCATGGGACGCTTCATCTACACATCCAGGTCTCAGCAGAGCTCCCCGATGGTGATAGACAGGTTGCTGAGGCCAGAGGGGAATGAGCAGCCCAAGTGATTGCTTGGTTGTTCACCTGTTCTCAATCCGCGTTTACCGAGCAGCTATGGTGTGCTAGGACTGCTTCAGTGAACAAAACAAACAAAACCAACACGTACATCTAGTCCTACGAACCAAGCTAGGACAGACCTCAGCGTGGGATGGGGGGCAGTGGTCCAGCCAGCGGCACATTGCTTTCTACCTTCCCCCCAGCCCCTCTGGAGCACTGTACCTGGAGTTTGCAAAGCACCCCTACCTACATGTTCCTGGTGACAGGCCTTCACCCCCTAATCCAATACCATCCCCTCCTGGTTCCTAGGACAGTGTCTGCCCTGAACATAGCCCAAGGTTAGGGGTGTGGAGGGCTTATACCCTTGAGTGACTTAATGGGCCCTTTGCTCGCTCTACCCCAGACCCACCACTTCTGCCCCACTCAGCTCTCCCTGGATCTGCTGGGTCCCGACTGGGACTGCCCCCTGGGCACCAAGGACCTGGAGGAAGAGGAGGGTCCATGGGGAGGAGGCTCTGGCCTGCCGCCCCCAGGCTGCTTCCCTGGCTCCTGGCGCCAGGACGTGGGCCTGGACTGCAAGGGCTCCCTCGAGGGGGCGGAGGCCCGGGCCTGGACTGTCTACGGCTACAGCCTCCTGCAGAGCTGTCTGCAGCAAGCTGGCCTTCCGGAGACCCAGGACCGCAGCCAGGTGCCCCGCACAGGTGCCCAGGGGCTCCAGGGAGGGGGGCAGCCCTGGGGGGCGGGGAGGAGGTGCCCTCAGCCCAGCCTGCTTCCCATCCCTGTCAAGGTCAGCCCCTTCCCCCAGGCTCTGGCTGGATCCGAAGCCAGGGAGGCAAGGCCAGTCAACCTCAGGCAGGCAAGCATTGTTTCAAAGGGCATCTGGCACCGGTAAAGTCAGAGATCAAGGCTTCCCTCCTGTCCCCAGAAGACCCAGCCGTGGGATTTGTAATCTAGGTTCTGTGGAGTTGGAGCTCCTATAGATGGGTTTTGGGAGCTGCTGTGGAAGCCGCTAACAGATGGGACCCAAAACTGCTTCCCAGCTTTATCAGTTTTATTTGTATTTATTTTTATATCTGTTCTATAGATCAGGTGGCCACAAAAGTTGTGTGTGGACAGAGGGTTCCCAGCTAGAATACATGAAAATCACGGACTGGGAAACTGAGGCACAGGGACATTTTTCCCCCCTCTTCCCACCCCCAGCAACTGCACTGCATGGGGGCTACGGGTCACAGAGAAAGTCAATGTCAGAGCCCAGGCTAGAACCCAGGTCTCCAGTCACTCAGCCTCCAGTACCTTCCAGGCTAGCTAGAGAGAGGAGGGAGCCAGCCTCACCCGGGCGGGATGGGCAGGCAGCTTCCCTTTCCCTTTCCAGCCCTTCTCAGCCCACACCGGAGGGACGGAGGGACGGAGGGACGAGGGATGGGGTGGGGTGGGGGGCATGGAGAGGGCGGGGCTATGGGGCAGGGAAGGGTAGGCAGAAAGATAGCGGGGGAGCCCCTCTTGAGCTTGGCCATGTTCTCCCCGCCCCCACCCCCCCAGGCTGCCCTGGTGCGGAGGTGACCTTATGCATTCTGGGATCCCCCAGCACCTTTCTGTCTGTGCTCCTGGAGGGTGGGGTTCAGAGCCCGGGTGAGTATGTGCCCATGTTCCTCCACCCGCTCCTACGGAAAGGGCAGCCCTCGCCTGGCCCGGCCACATCCCGAAATACCCACTAACCCTGGCAAGTGCCTGCATTCCACTGGGCCAGCTGCCATGCTCTGAGTGGGGGTGGGTTCCGGGAGCAGCTGCCCCCCACTACCCAGGGCCCCGGGCTGGAGGTGGAGGGCATGGGGGCATTAAGCCTTCCCTGGCCAGCAACCCTCTTCCCTCTGCCCACAGGAAATATGCTCCTCTGCCTGTCCCCTGCTTGGCTGACGAAGGTGCCAGCACCCGGGCAGCCGGGCGAGGCGGTCCTGCTGGTCTCTAAGGCTGTGAGCTTCCACCCAGGGGGCCTGACATTCCTGGATGACTTTGTCCCCCCACGCCGAGCCACCTACTTCCTGGCGGGCCTGGGGCTGGGACCTGGCCGGGGTCGAGAGGCAGCTGAACTTGCCCGTGACCTGACCTGCCCCACGGGAGCCTCGGCTGAGCTGGCCCGGCTGCTGGAGGACAGGCTGCTGACAAGGCGACTGCTGGCTCAGCAGGGTGGTGTGGCCGTGCCAGCAACCCTGGCTTTCACCTATAAGCCACCAGCCCTGCTGCGGGGAGGGGAGGCCACCCCGGGCCTACGGCTGGTGGAGCTGAGTGGCAAAGAGGGCCAGGAGACACTGGTGAAGGAGGAAGTAGGGGCTTTTCTGCACTCTGGTGCCCTGGGTAATGCTCTGCAGGTAACAGGCTCCCGCCTCCGAGGTCTGTGCAGATGCCAGCAGGATGGGATGCAGGGATGGTTACCCGGTCCTGCTGCAAAGTTGTCCCCAACTTTGAGTCCTACTGCTGGCATCTCTCTCTGTGGCAATCCCCTCCCTTCTTACCTCCGTTTACACACTGGATCCTCTGGTACCCCACAGGTTCATGGGGTGGTAAGGAGACCTCCTTCCCCTCCCTGTTGCAGGTGGCCGTCAAGCTCAGTGGCTGGCGGTGGCGGGGGCGACAGGCCCTGCGTGTGCACCCGCGAGGGGAGCTGGGCGCAGTGGCGGACACGGTGCTGGCCCTGCTGGAGAAACTGGAGGAGGAGGAGAGTGTCCTGGTGGAGGCTGTGTGCCCACCTGCCCGACTGCCTTTCCCAGGTGAGAACCCCCTGGGCCAGCCCACAGTGGGAGCTCGGTTTACCCTCCCAGCTGCTCTGTGCCAGGCTCAGGCCTCACTGTCTTTCTCCAGGCAGTCCCCCACCTGGCCCTGAGCTGGCTGTGCGGATCTGCGCTGTGGTCTGTCGGACCCAGGGTGACAGGCCCCTGCTGAGCAAGGTGAGCCTGGCCCAAGTTTAGATCCTGACCCCCCTACCACACCCCAGCCCAGCCCTCATGAGGGGCTGAGGGCCCCAGGCAGAGAGAAGACATAACCTCTGGGGGGAGTCCTGGTGGTCTCTAGGAAGACTCCTGGGTCTGACGCTTTTCCCCTCCCTTTCCACCCTTCCTACCTCAGGAGCCCTGCCTGGTACCAGGTACCAGGGCCCAGGGCTGAATCCTCTTTCTAGGGAGCTCTTACCCACAGAAGAGGCTGACCCAGGGTCCCTGAACGGCCCATGTCTGGAGTCCTGTAGAAGAGGCCTCCAAGCTGGGGAACTCAAGAAAGCTTGGGGATCCTCCTGGGAACACAGCTCTGAGCCAATCTGAGGCAGAGTCTCTCAACCCTGCCCTCATGGAGGTCTGGGGTGAGGGGCACATCAGGGTGGCACAGGCCCCCAGGCCTGCAGGAGCTAGGAACAAGCATGTTTGGAACCTCCAAGGAGCAGAGAGACCCCGGCGCAGGTGGAAGCCTGGGTTGAGTCCCCTTAGGGTCTAAAGGACCAGAGGGGCAGGTGGCGGGGAAAGTGGTTTGTGCGGCGGAAGTCACAGAGGCCTGGGCCACTTGAATGTCCAGTGAGAGGTCTGGCCTGGGTCTCAGCATAGGGGTAGGTGGCGGGTGCATGAGTCCTGGGCCGGCTCCTCCTGGGCCCACACCCTCAGCCACACCCTGCCCAGGTGGTGTGCAGCGTGGGCCGTGAGGACCGGCCTCTGCGGCACCAGAGCTCCTTGCCACAGACGCTGGAGGTGGCACTGGCCCGGTGCGGCCTGGGTGAGCCGGGGCAGGTGGCGGTCGTGCGACAGCGCGTCAAGGCGGTGGCCGAGGCCGCGCTGGCCGCAGTGCTGGCCCTGGAGGCCGGCCTGAGCGCGGAGCAGCGCGGCGGGCGCCAGGCCCGCACGGACTTCCTCGGTGAGTGCGCACCGCCCGGGGCGGGGACCGGCAGGCCGTGGGGGTGCCGGACGGCAGCCCGTGCTGAGCCCGCGACCCTGGCCCGGCCCAGGCGTGGACTTAGCGCTGACGGTGCAGGGCCGCGCGCTGACCCCCGTGGCCCTGGAGCTGAACAGCGGCCCGTGTCTGGAGGCGTGCGGCGCGCTCGAGGGGCTGTGGGCCGCGCAGCGCCCGCGGTCGGCGGCCGAGGAAGCGGCGGCCGCGCCGCTCGTGGAGACCATGCTGCGGCGGTCCGCGCACTACCTCATGGAGGGCAAGCAGCTGCTGCTGATCGGCGCCGGCGGCGTCAGCAAGAAGTTCGTGTGGGAGGCCGCGCGCCACTACGGGCTCAAGGTGGGCGGGGCGAGGGGCGGGGCCGGCGCGCAGTCCGGGCCCCAGTGGCGGAGGCCGTGCCCTGGGCGCGGGGGCGGAGAAGGCTTTGGGGCGGAGAAGGCTTTGGGGCGGGGCCAGCATCTTTGGGGGCGGAGTCTGCGCTGGGCGGGCCCGCTGGGCGCTCTAGAGCCCGGGAGTAGGGCCGGGGCCCGCTGACCCGCCCAGGTTGGAAATCTAAACTTTTTTTTTTTTTTTTAAGATTTTATTTACTTATTTGACAGAGAGGGACACAGCCAGAGAGGGAACACAAGCAAGGGGAGTGGGAGAGGGAGAAGCAGGCTCCCCACCAAGCAGGGAGCCTGATAGGGGGCTGGATCCCAGCAGCCTGTAATCAAGACCTGGGCGGAAGGCAGACGCCTACCGACTGAGCCAGACAGGCGTCCCAAAACTTTTTTTTTTTTTTTCTTAAGATTTTATTTAGTTTTTGAGAGAGAGCGAGAGTGAGAGAGCACAAGCAGCGGGTGGGGGGAGCAGCAGAGGGAAAGGGAGAAGCCGAGCTCCTTTCCAGGACTTGGAGATAACGTCCTGAGCAGAAGGCAGAGGCTTAACTGACCGAGACACCCAGAAGTTTAAATTCTTTTTGGCTTCTGGTCGAATTCTGTCCCAGCCCGGTGAAATAAGACCTCAGGGAGAGCACAGAGCCCTCCAGGGCAAAAAGAGTCCAGCGCAGACGGGCAGGAGGGCTGAGGCCATCATTCAGGTTTCCTACCAGAACCAGGACATTGAATGCCAGGCTAAGGAGCCTGACCCCATCCTGCAGGAAGGGCAGGCCCCTGGGGGTTGAATTCCTGAGGGCTCGAGGAGGGTGCTGGGGAGCAGCTTACAGATCCTGAATCAAGTTCACAGCAGTGGCCTCATATTAAAGAATCTGAAGCCATGCCAGCAGAGTAGATGTTCTTATCCGCTATGGAACAGATAAGAAAACAGAGGTCAGGTTCTTCACGGCCCTAATCTACCACAATGGCCTCCTCTCCCCTCTTCCATGGTACAACAGCACCCCCTTGGGAATTCACCCTTCCAGCCATTCTCATGCCTCTTAACTCTGTGCCTTGCACATTGTGCTCTCCACTTGGAATGTCTTTCCCCTCTTCGTGCTGTCAAGTGTTCCAGTGCTCCCAGCCACGCTCCCGTCTCTTCAGGAGCACCCTCTGCCCTGGGAAGCAGCCGCTTTCGGTCTGTGTTCCCCCAGCTGGCAGTGAGATTTGGGGTTCAGGGCCCCACTGGATTCCTCCATGGGCACCCCCAGGGTCAGAACTGTTTGGGTGAATGACAACCAAGAGGATGATGTCCCAAGACACCAGGCCACCTGTCTCAATTCCCAGCCCTGGTAGTTTCCCTACAAGCTCTGGTCAGAGAATGAGCCCAGGAGCCCCCCCCCTTTGCTCCAGCCCCCTCCTGCCCAGATCACACCTTCTCCCTCCTGCCGCAGTCTCCTCTGGCTGAGTCTTACTCAGCTCCTGGCCTAAGCATTGTCTCCTTTCAGCTGCCTTCCCTCCCTCCAGGCTGGGTTGGATGTGCAAACTTGGCACCTGCCATTTAGTCAGTCATCAACGAATATTTTTTGAGCCCCCTAGAGCTGGCAAGTCTGTCTCCCCTGAGGGCCCAAACCATGCTCTGTGCCCCATCCGGTCGCCCCAGCAACCAGCATGGGCTGAGCTGGATGTGTTGGGCCCTGGTGGTTTCCGCAGCTGCACCTGGTGGAGTCGGACCCCAACCATTTTGCATCCCAGCTGGTGCAGACTTTCATCCATTTCGATGTGACAGAGCACCGGCGGGACGAAGAGAACGCACGGTCGCTGGCGGAGCTGGTGCGGGCCCGTGGCCTGCAGCTGGATGGCTGCTTCTCCTACTGGGACGACTGCCTTGTGCTCACGGCCTTGCTCTGCCAGGAGCTGGGGCTTCCCTGCAGCCCCCCGGCTGCCATGCGCTTGGCCAAGCAGAAGAGCTGCACCCAGCTGCACCTGCTGCGCTGCCACGGGCCCCCTTGGCCCGCGCCCTCCCTGCACGCCGTGCCCTGCTGCCCGCTGGAGAGCGAGGCCGACGTGGAGAGGGCTGTCCACCAGGTGCCACTGCCCGGCGTCATGAAGCTGGAGTTCGGGGCGGGTGCGGTGGGTGTGCGGCTGGTGGAGGACGCGCCACAGTGCCACGAACACTTTTCCCGGATCGCCCGTGACCTGCAGGGGGAGGCCGACCACCCCGGCATTGGGCTGGGCTGGGGCAACGCCATGCTGCTGATGGAGTTCGTCGAGGGCACCGAGCATGACGTGGACCTGGTGCTGTTCGGAGGGCGCCTGCTGGCCGCCTTCGTCTCCGATAACGGCCCCACGAGGCTGCCTGGCTTCACGGAGACAGCAGCCTGCATGCCCACCGGGCTGGCCCTGGAGCAGGAGGCCCAGCTGGTGCAGGCAGCCTTCCGCTGTTGCCTGGGCTGTGGGCTGCTGGATGGGGTGTTCAATGTGGAGCTCAAGCTGACCCAGGCTGGGCCAAAACTGATCGAGATCAACCCCCGCATGGGCGGCTTCTACCTGAGAGACTGGATCCTGGAGCTCTATGGTGTGGACCTGCTGCTGGCAGCAGCGATGGTGGCCTGCGGCCTGCGGCCTGCCTTGCCTACCCACCCACGGGCCCGTGGTCACCTGGTGGGGGTCATGTGCCTGGTGTCCCAGCATCAGCAGGTGCTGAGTTCCACCGCCAGCCGCGAGACCCTGCAGGCTCTCCACGACCAGGGCCTGTTGCGCCTCAATTTGCTGGAGGATATCCTGGTGCCGGGCGAGTACGAGGAGCCCTACTGCAGCGTGGCCTGTGCTGGGGAGAGCCCGGCTGAGGCTCGCCTCCGCCTGCTGGGCCTCTGCCAGGGTCTGGGCATCGATGGGCCCCACTACCCGGTTGCCCACTTCCTGTCCCACTTCAAATAGTGCCTCTCTCTCCCCGGACCCCTGCCCCAACCCTGGCTTGGCCCACCCTCAAGGCCTCATGGCTGTTCCAGAGTGTCAGGGCCATTTGACACGAAGGCCTCCCGAGCTTAAGGGCCATAAAAGAAAGTATGTTGGGGGTCCACTGGCCCCTCTTGCTGTCAGTTCGGCCCGAACGCCCCAGTCCTGCCCCACGAGTCTAGTCACAGAGAAGCAACAACAGCTGTGCACATGCACACACACACCACAGGGAGGTGGGAATGGGCCCAAACTTAGCACCCTGCAGGAAGAGAGAAGTTGGGCCTCTGGCCTTGGACAAATCCCACAAAAACCTGAGATAAAATGGCCTGTCCTCAACCCTCATTTAGCAAATCCCAGGATATTTCCAGAGCCCACTGACAACTTTTGGCAGTGCCCTGCCTGCCTCGTTGGGCCTGAGCAGTAGAAGCAGGGGACCTGGGATCAGCAGGAACCATCTCCTCTCCAAGTAGACACCATTGCCCCATTCTACGGATGAGGAAACAGGCTCAGACAGGAACAATCACTGCCTCAAGGTCGTACCACAGTAGCCAGGGAGTCAAGGGACAAGCTACAAGGTCCAGGTTTCCACTTTTACTAAGTCTTATGTGCCCGCTCCACTCCTAAACCACACTCAGCTCCCTGCCCTCATTCATATGTGGCCTTAAGATGAGGGAACACCCCCTCCCAGGCAGCGCCCACCTTGTCCACCAAGCTTTGGTACATTGGCCTCTGGCATAACTAACCAGCACTGGCATAGGAAAGTCTGCACTCCCTTCCTGATTCTGGGGAGTCTGTCCCAATAACTCTGCCCCTGTGCAGCCTGGGAGTTGTGGCCAGCTCCGCAAGCATCCCTCTCCAAATAAAGGCTTATGAACTAATGAAAGGTCTAGCATCTGGTTCTCAAGACTTGGACAGCTCCCCTCAGACTCAGCTTAGATGGGAATTGGGGAAGAGAGGAGGGAGAGGTGGCTAAGGGATACCTGTAGCCTCTGACACTAAGGATAAACACCATACTGGCCAGGCCTCTGTGTTGACCGTGAGCAGGGGCCTGCCATGGTCACTCACAACAGGACCCAAACCTGAGGGTCTCTGGAGGGTGGAATTACAACCAGAGGGCCACATCCAATCAAATAACCCTCCTCCAGCCTGGGTTCTGTCCAACTGAGTTCATATTTAGCCTCCCCATGCGGCTGGAATGCACATCCAGACAGCCTCCAACAACAGTCAGAACTCTATCCAAGACCTAATGTAGCCAGAATTCACCCCTACAGAGCCCCATTCAATGAGAATCCATGCTCATATCTAAAGTCACAGACCAGGTTTGGTGTATTCATTTATTTATTATCTTAACAAAGTTTTATTAAGTGCCTATTCTGTACTAGGTAGCAAGATGACTAAATGTACTTAAACTGGCAACGTAGCAAACTCCAGCACAAACCCATATTTACAGGTGAGTCAATGAGACCCAAAAACCTGGCAAAAAAGCCCAGCCGTGACCTGAGCAATCACCCAGTAAATGCTCTGATACGGGGTCCTTGAGACAGGTGTCACATTAGGAAGACTGTGATGCAGTCGTCTCTCAGGGGCGAACAGAGAGACGCGACCCGCTTTTCGCCCCCCAGCCAGCACCCAGCCACCCAGCTGGCGCACGGCTTTAACAGGGGTGGGGATAAAGTTTACACCCATATCTGCATGTGTTTCTGTCCCATCCAAACTCAAACTCTTCCCAGAACCAAGATGAGCGCCTTCCAGGCCGCCCTTGTCCTGTGCCGCTTCCGGGAAACAGTGCTGGGACGAGTGAGGGTCTGGTCAACGGATGTTAAACCAGCGTCGGCAGCCCGGCGCTGTGCAACTACAGTTCCCGAGAGGCCTTGCGCCAGGCGCCATCTTCCCGCCCCACCCGATGGTGGGTGGGCGGGCTCCTGCGTCATCGGCGCGCGCGGCCGCGGTCCCAGTCGCGGAGTGATAACATACAACTCCCCCCCCCCACCCCGCCCCCGGGGCTGTCAGTCTGAGCGCGGCCAAGCACTGGCCGAGGGGCCCCCCGGGCCGCGCCGCTATGGCGGCCGTGTTTGACCTGGACCTGGAGACGGAGGAAGGCAGCGAGGGTGAGCCAGAGTCGAGCCCCTCGGTGAGTGGTCCTCCCGGGCACGGCTCGATCCCGGAGCCGATCCCATCCTCCAGGCGGTGGAATCGCCCTGGCTTCCCCCAGCGAGAGCATCTCAGAGCCCGGCCCCTGTTAAGCTCTGACCCACCCTCACTAACCCGGACCTGTCTTCCAGGCCCCAGCCCTTACCCTGGTTCTCCCTTTTCTGCTCTCGGCCTCTCCTCCCCAGTGCTGGCCCATCGCCCGCCAGTTCCCATTCCTGACCCCTCCTCTCCTGGGCCAACTAGTCCAGCTTGAGGCGGGGTTGGGCGGGGGGGAATCCCGGTGCCTTCCTTGGCTCTTACCCCTCGGTTTCTCACAGGACGTGTGTCCCCTTGCCGAGTCGAGGGCGGCTGGCCTGGAGTGAGTGAGGGTTGTGTTGGGGGAGGAGGGTATGGGCTGGGGAGGGAGATGCGGGGAGTCCTGGAGCCTTGCCCCCTTTAACTCTTGTGTCAGTAGGCCTGTGGGACGCTGTGAGGAGGTGGAGCTGACCGAGACCAGTGTGAACCTGGGCCCTGAGCGCATCGGGCCCCACTGCTTCGAGCTGCTGCGTGTGCTGGGCAAGGGGGGCTATGGCAAGGTACTGGCCCTCGGTCCTCCCTGGTCTCCCTGCCCCCGTCTTGCAGCAGCAAAGGGTCTCAAAACGAATTAGACTTATAAATCAGCTGAGCCTCCGTAGAACGCTGAGGTAAAAATGTAAAGGAGGGAAAGACAGATCCTCTCAGAATCAGACTTGACATCTTTACTGCCCCACCCTTGGGTGGGCCTCGGCCTCTGGGTCTCAGTGCCAGAGCTTCAGGGTGGAGCTTTTTGAAGGAAGGATGTGGAGAAGGAGGTTGATCCTGTCTCCCCTGCCCTACAGGTGTTCCAAGTGCGAAAAGTGCAAGGCACCAACTCGGGCAAAATATATGCCATGAAAGTACTGAGGAAGGTGAGTCATGTGTCCAGCCGACACATCCTCGCTTGGTGGCCGCCGTTCTCCAGGCACGACTTCAGGCTTCCGGAAGACGGTAGTGAACGCGGTGGAGGACCTGGCCCCTGGCTTGGGCATTGGCTGGTTTATTGTCAGTTGTGGTTATGTTGTTTTGTGGTAATTCCCAGCCGTGGGCAATTTTGCCTCTATGTTTCTGAGTCACAACTAAATAAATAGGGGCGCTACTGGCATCCAGTGGGTAGAGGCCAGGGCTGCTGTTCAACATCCTGCAATGTACGAGACAGCACCCACGGCAAAGAATTACCTGCCCAAAATGTCATTAGTCCCAAGTGGAGAGGTACCTCTAGAGGATAAATCAGTCCTTGAGAAGGATGACCACTGGTAGCAGGATTACGGAGAGATAGAATGGAGTGATAAAGGGTGGCAGAAGGGTAATGGCAGGAGGGACTAAAGGAGCCCAAGGTGCCCATTTTCTGATTGATCCCCGCCTCTTCAGGCCAAAATTGTGCGCAACGCCAAGGACACAGCACACACGCGGGCTGAACGGAACATTCTAGAGTCAGTGAAGCACCCCTTCATTGTGGAACTGGCCTATGCCTTCCAGACTGGTGGCAAACTCTACCTCATCCTCGAGTGCCTCAGTGGTATGAGCGGGGGCCCAGCCAGGGAACCAGGGCCAGGGAACCAGCCAGGAAGCACTGGGAGCTCTGGGGAAAGCCCGGAGAGATGTGGTGTGTAGAATGGCTAGGGGGCCCCCATACCCATCCATCCATGTGTCTATCCGTCCCTTCATTCATTCATTCAGCAAACGTCTGTCCAGCACCTATTGTGTCCCTCACCTGTATTGGGGGTGGACGGGAACGGCGGGAGTTTGTACGGAAATCCAGTGGCTTGTTTTGTCCATTTCCACTACCCGTTCCTGGCCTGTTCCTCTCTCCTGCGTGCCCTGTGTTGAGTCGGGTCCCAGATCCTGCTGGTTCATTCTCGGCAGTGTCCTCCATCCTCTCCACTCTCCTGAGGGGAGGGCACGGGTCAGGTTTCCTAACTGGGCCTGAGGCCTTCAGCTCACTTTCTTCCATGAACTCTCAGGGTCGTCGTCTCAGCACGGGAATTGTCCCCAACGCTCCTACTCACAATCCCACGGCTCCTTGTAACTGCCCCATGAAGCCTGGCCTCCTTGGCCTGGTGCCCCCTGTTGGCCATGAAGTGGTTGGGCCCGCTTCCCGCCAGGTCCTGTCTGCACAGATGAGCCTGTGAGCTCCAGTCCCCATGTCCCTCTCAGTGCCCCCTCGATTCTCACCGTTACCGCGGGCTGCATCCCCTCACGTTGGGAGTCATTTTGCCTCCTCTGTGAGATTTTTTGCACGAAGCTCTTGGAGCCCTTGCCTCGGTCTGGCCTGTTGGAGCCCCTCTGTGCATGTCTGTCTCCCCGTTAGACTGAGCGTCCTGAGGGCAGTGGCTGGGTCGCCTCATCTCTGTGTCCCCAGCGTCGCCCAGCACAGGGCCAGACACCGAGTAGGCGTCGGTAGATGTTTGCTGAATTGAATTGAGTCCCCACGGCAGCTCTGTGAGGCAGGTAGGGCCGGAATTATGAGCCCCACTCTCCCCAAGAAGAAACCGAGACTCCGAGAGCAAAGGTGCTGGTTCCCAGCACACAGCTGCTGACGTGTTTGTGTCACAGGCGGTGAGCTCTTCACGCATCTGGAGCGAGAGGGCATCTTCCTGGAAGACACAGCCTGGTAGGTAGTACTTCCTGCCTCTCTGGAGGGGCTGCAGGGATTCCCCTCACCCCGAGCACAGCCGCACGCCTACCCTTGCCTTCACCCTGTCCTGTCTCTGCAGTTTCTACCTGGCAGAGATCACACTGGCCCTGGGCCACCTGCACTCCCAAGGCATCATCTACCGGGACCTCAAACCCGAGAACATCATGCTCAACAGCCAGGGTGCGCATGCGTGCACCCCTCCCCCACCCGCACACCTGCACCTCCGGGTCGGAACCTGCAGGGAGGGCTGAGGAGCACCACGTGGTGGGCCCTGACCACCCCCCCCCCCCCCCCCCCGCAATATCCGCCTCAGGCCACATCAAACTGACAGACTTCGGACTCTGCAAGGAGTCAATCCACGAGGATGCGGTCACCCACACTTTCTGTGGCACCATTGAGTACATGTAAGCGGCAGCTGGCTGGGACCAGGGATTGGGATCACTGGCAGGAAGGGCCCAGCCCGACCAATGGTTTCCCCTGGCCCCCAGGGCCCCTGAGATTCTGGTGCGCAGTGGCCACAACCGGGCGGTGGACTGGTGGAGCCTGGGCGCCCTGATGTATGACATGCTCACCGGCTCGGCAAGTCCAGCCTCCTTGGGGTGGTGGGAGAGGGTGGTGGGAGGGGGTCCCCATCCCAGGGCTGGGCCAGGGCTTGGGGGGAGGCCCGCAAGTCTCCTCTCACCCCCTGCCTTCTCCAGCCACCCTTCACGGCAGAGAACCGGAAGAAGACAATGGACAAGATCATCAAAGGGAAGCTGGCACTACCCCCCTACCTCACCCCGGATGCCCGGGACCTTGTCAAAAAGGTGGGTTTCCTCTGTCTGTGGTCCCTAGGCCCCAGTGTCTTTTAGGCCCCGCCTGGAATCCTGAGTTTCTCTGGGCTCCCTGCCTGCACAGTATGCCTTGGGGATGAAGGAGCACTGGCTTTGGGGTCCACAGTGCCGAGCTGGGGCACTCACTCTTTTGCACACCAGCTGCTGACCTTGTTGCACAGATCCCTAGTCCCGGGTCCTAATCAGCAGAACGTTCATTCACGATGAGCTAGTTGTTCTCCCACTGAGAAGGCATTCACTGGGGGTAAAAGTGGGCAGCTAGGCTCAGAGATCGGACCCCACGGCAGGGCCCTGGAGTGATGCCCGTGACCGGGTGCCTTTGTGAATGCTTCATGCAGAAGGGCCCATCACACCAAACCTTGGAAGGCCTAAGGTTGTCTGTAGGTAGGGACCACACTCCAGAGGCCCTCCCCCCCCCCCACACACACGTGCGTGCACACATGCGCGCGCGCGCACACACACACACACACACAGCTCTCACCTTCCTCACCCAGCCCACCCCGAGGAACCTGGAGGAACACACAGTCAGTGTCTCTCCCCCAGGGCCTCACCCTCTGCCCTTGCCCTGCAGTTTCTGAAACGGAATCCCAGCCAGCGGATTGGGGGTGGCCCCGGGGACGCTGCTGATGTGCAGGTGGGTTTGGGAGCCCCAGGAGGGGGCAGGGTGGAGCCCCCAAAGGCAACAGGAGGCAGGCAAGGCCTTAGGGCACAGGGAGTTGCTCTGTGAGCCAAGGAGGTGGAAATGACGGGATGCTTGGGGGCTCTGTACCCACAGAGGCACCCTTTTTTCCGGCACATTAACTGGGACGACCTCCTGGCTCGCCGCGTCGACCCTCCTATCAGGCCGTCTCTGGTAAATGGAGGACCTGATGGTCCGGGGGCAGGTGGAGGACCCATCTCGGATGCCCCCTGACCCCTCCTTGCCGCGCGGGTCTGCCCACAGCAGTCAGAGGAGGACGTGAGCCAGTTCGACACCCACTTCACACGGCAGACGCCGGTGGACAGTCCTGACGACACGGCCCTCAGCGAGAGCGCCAACCAGGCCTTCTTGGTGAGATCATGGGTGGCCTGAGGGTTATGGGGGCCTGGGCAGGATTGTGGTGAAGGAGTGGCGGACACTGAGTGCCATCCGTCCCCCCAGGGCTTCACATATGTGGCCCCCTCTGTCCTGGACAGCATCAAGGAGGGCTTCTCCTTTCAGCCTAAGCTGCGCTCCCCCAGGCGCCTCAACAGCAGCCCCCGGACCCCAGTCAGGTACCGCAGGGCACAGGGGAGAGTGTGCAGCTGGGGCGGGAGGCCGGTTCGGGCTTGGCTCTACTAGCCCACCCTAGGGCTGCCTCTTGGCGCTCGTCTGTGTTTTCCCACCCAACCCTGGGGACCCCTTGTGGCAGGGGCTGCTTGGCTGGGCACTTGACCTCACAGCCTCTGTGCCTAGGTGGGGCGGGCTGGGCAGTGTCGGCCCTCTGACCCCAGGGCCGGTCCAGGCTGACTCAGCCTTGGTTTCCCCCGCAGCCCCCTGAAGTTCTCGCCCTTTGAGGGATTCCGGCCCAGCTCTGGCCCACTGGAGCCCACGGAGCCCCCTCTCGCCCCTCTCCCGCCACCACCCCCCTCAAGCTCTGCCCCCCCTCCCCATCCGACCCCCCTCAGGGACCAAGAAGTCTAAGAGGGGCCGTGGGCGCCCAGGGCGCTAAGAGGATGGGGGGCTCTGAGAGTAGGTGGGACCCTGGGCCAGTTCGAGAGACCTGGAGATGGGTCTAGGAGTACAGGAGTGAGTGTGTGTGAGAGGGTGTCTCTGCTGGGGGTGGCTGTCCCTCTGAACCAAGCCCACGAAGGGCCACAGGCTCTGGCTGTTAGGGGAGTGGCCTCGCCGCCCAACTGGCCTGCAGTTGAGCTGTGCCCTTGAAGAATTAAAATATTGAATCATGACACTGACCTGGCTCTTTCTTGGACTTCTGGGGGCAGGATTGTGGGCGGGCGGCTTGTATCAGGAGGAGCCCCTGCTCAGAGACGGGGAGGGTCACTATAGGACCACAGAGCCTCGGGGCTGGAGGGGTTTTATTTCAGATGGCTGCCCAGTGTCCCTTCCTGGTGGGAATAGGGCCGCAGAGCTTTGGGGACAGAACTGCTAGGGGAGCGGTGATCTGAGACTCTTCATGGGGAGGGGGTGTGGGTGATGCTGGGTCCGGGACAGCTCGGGACACAGGTACGGTGACGGGGGTGGCCCACCCCGTTGGCTCTTACAGAGCGGTGACGTGGAGGCCCTGGCCCCCTGCCGCTTCGGCGCTGTCGTCCCAGGCCGCGCTGCCGGCGAAGGCGTGCAGGTCGCTCAGCAGGGCCTCAGCGCTGCCCCCCGAGCCCGCCGGCCCCTGGGATCTGAGGCCCAGGCCCCCTTCGATGTTACTGTCACATGCTTCGTCAGCTGGCTCTGGGGCCTGCTGGGGGCCGGGCCCCTCTCCTGCCTGCTGCTCCTCCTCCAGGGACTCTGTGTCCTCCAGGCCGCCGGCCAGGTGGTAGTCTTCTTCCACATCCTGCCTGTCCTGCGGCTGCTCGGGGTCCTCGTCGGGCGACTCCAGCTTGGCCCGAGCCCGGAGCCAGCGGCCCGGCGGGCTGGCCCAAAGGAGGCGGCGGGTGCGGCCCCACAGCGCGGCGCCCAGGCGGGCCGGGTGGTAGTAGCCCCCTGAGTCCCGGCTGAGGCGGCACCAGGCCAGCGCCAGGCCGGTGGCCAACAGCAGGAGCAGCAGCAGCAGCACGACGACAGTGACGGAGTTGGAACCCTCACTGTCCTCAGCACTGCCGCCCGAGCCCAGGACCCCTGGCAGGGCCAGCAGTGTCCCGAGCCCTAGGGCACAGGGCAGGTCCTGTGGGGAGACAGGCAGGGGCGCGTCACCGGGGCTGGGGGCGGATAGGCCACATGACTGGGTCCTCAGCTGCCTCTTGGGCAAAATGGGGACCAGTGAGCAGAAGGACCCACGTTCTTACTGGGTCTACAAGGCCCTGGTCCTTTGAGCTGTGGCTCTGGAGCCTCTGACCCCTGCCTTTGCCACCCCAGCTGCGTTCCATGAGCGGGTGCCTGCCAGGGGCCCACGTGCTGGCTGTTCCCTCCACCCAGAATGCTCCATCCTCTGAGAGCCACACTGCTGCTGGCTCACCTTGGCATGAAGTACTGCCGGCCTCTCCCCTCTGCGGCCGGGCCCAGCCTGGCTCTGCTTTCCTCACCCTGGTACTCCTCACACAGCCTGCCTCATCTGCCCCATCAGAGCAAGCGGCAAGGGCACAGGGATCTTTCAGGCTTAAGCACTACCATTTCTGGCACACACAGTAGGTGCTCAGCAAACACTGGTGAGACGTGTCAAGACTGACAGTGGGGCGGGCGCTAGATGCATTGGGAGGGAAGAAGGGAATCTGCTCTTCCTGAGGCGTGGGAATGGAGGGGCCAACTCTGAGACAACTGTTTACCCTCCACTTGGTCAGGTCTCAGGATGGGGGGGGCGTCCCTGAAGCCCCTCTTCCTCTCCCACCCACGGGACGGCCCCAGCTGCAGCATTTCCGTTCAACTCCCGTCTCTGGGGGCCTCAGGCTCGCAGGGCCTGGGGCTGGGGGAGGCGGGTGCCGCTACCAGAGGAAGCCTGCGGTCGGAACAAGGCAGGTGGGAGGTGGGGGGGAGGGGGGGCTGAGATTCGGGCAAGACTCCCCTTCTCCCCGGGCTCTGTTCGCTCGGGCTTCAGGGATGCAGGTAGGTTCTGTGCCCAGGTCCCAGCTCACCAGCAGAACAGGTGAGAGGGTCTATCAGAGGTTCCTGAAGCAGGGCCAGACCTGGAGAGGGGTGCTGGGGGCACACCCTGAGTCCCAGGGGGCCCGCCTCTGAGGCAAGGTGAGAGGAAGGCCCAGCTTCTGCCCCATGCTTGCCCTGGGTCTCCCATCTCTGCCCTTGACTGACTGCTTCTGCTCCTGGGCCCCAGTATGGGGGTCCTCCCTTAGCGCCCAGGGCCCAGACATTCCAGCTGTGACCTCCTATGGCCCCCACCGTAGGACCCAGCAGGCTCCCGTGCTCACCATCAGTCCGCCGGCCTCGGTGCCTGGGCGCCTGCCACCAGCTCTGGCCGCGTTGAGTGGAAGTGAGCTCTGGTGCGCTCAGCTGCAGCTGGGGCTCCCTGGGCGCTTCCGCTTCCTGCCCACGTACCTCACCCAGCCCTCCCTGCCATAGGCCCCTGCTGGGGGCCGAGGGCCTCTCGGGACCACCCTAACCCGCTAACCCATGCTAAAGCCTCACAGATCTCCCACCGGATGAGGCCAGGGCTGTGAAGCCTCTGGCCGCACCTCCCAAAGGAGGACCCAGGCACCAGTTCACAGCCCATGCAGTCCTGGGCATCCACAGGTCTGGGGCCACAGTTCCTCTAGCTGGAAGAATTCAGGGAAGCAATGACGTGGTGGGGGGGGAAGCCCTTGGCCCCCAGCCCTTTCTCACATCTGTGACCCCTGTGGGCTGCCCTCATCTGCCCCCAGTGTTCTAGACTTCCTTTCCCAACCCGACCCTTTGCAAAGGGCAAACCTGGCTTTTAGAAAGAGAATTTTATTTGGAATGAAAATATAGAGCTTGTCCCTCCCACGTCCTCCAGGGAGAGAGCAGGGAGTCGGGGGAGATGGTCCCTCAGAGTATAAGCTTGCCTTGATACAAAAATCCTCCACGGTGACAAGAGCCAGGCGGTGACTCTGGCCCAGGCCCACAGGATGGGTCAGTGTGGACTGTCTCTGAACCTGGCCCAGAGGGCCTGGGCAGGGAGCAGGAGGCAGCCAGCTAGTGGTGTGACTTGCCAGCAGAGGCTGGGTGAGGAGGGCGTGGAGGAGGAGGAGGAAGTGGGGGGGGAGCGGCATCCCCTGGGCCTGTGGTCCTACGCGTCCCCATTCTCCATGCGGCCGAGCTGCTCCTCCAGGCGACCGATGCGCTCCCCCTGCTCCTTGACCAGCGCCCGCAGTGCCCGCAGCTCCTGCATGACCTCCTCCAGCTTCCCAGCCTCCTGCAGGGATAGCAGGAGTCAGGGGGCGCGGAGCTGCAGCCCGCCCCCGGGCAACAGTGGCCCCGGCCCACGAAGGGTTCAGGCACACACACGGCACACCAGGGCCCCTGGAGGGCACGTACCATGGCTCCGGCAAGGCTGCCGCCGGAGACGGTCGAATGGATGGACGCGGCAGAGCCGGTGGCCCCCGGGCGGGCCGAACTGGGAGCCGCGGCGGGCCGGCTATCGGATAACACATTGCGCCTGCTGACCTTCAGGTCCCGCTGCTTGCTGGGCACGTAGGCCTCCCGCAGGGAGATGAGGATGGGGCTGGCATCCTGCCCGCTCACCCACTCCTCTGCCTCCAGGGCCGCCTCAGGCCCGGCCGTGTCAGGGTACAGATCATCCTGGAAGAGGTCCGACTGGGCGGGGGCGGGGAGGTCTGGATCAGCCGGGGGGGGGCCCCGTGGTAGGGTCATCTCGTCTGGACCCTGGGTAGCCACCTTCTTATCGCTCTCAGCCTCCAGGCCTGCGCCCTGTCAACCCCGCCTCCCATGCCCTGGCCCCCCTGGCTTCTGTAAAGCACAAATCTCTCGCTTCACTTCCCTTCGGGGTGAGGCCAACAACTCTCTCAGAAACCTTCCCCACACTCCTAAGCAGGGCTCAGCCACGTGGCTTCATGGGATTCTGGAAGCCCTGTGTCCCACAGACGGTAAACCCCGCCAGCCTCATTCACAGCCCTCCTCCCTGGGAGGCGCCTGGCACGCTGGAAGGTTCACTCGGTGAGCACCGGCCGAAGAACGAGGCTCCTTCAGCGTTCAAGGCTGGGCAGCCGAGGCCCGGCCACATGTGGGCTGATCCCCTCTTCGTGGGAGTCTCCACAACAGCCAGGTTCTCGTCCCTCTCTCCACTCTTCCCTCCGTGTCGTTTGCCTGGCCTAGACCCACCGCTGGAGGGCCACCCCCACAGCCAGGTTGTTGGGTCCTGCCTTTCCAGCCACAGGGAGCCCTCCAGGCCTGCCCGGCACCTGTCCACCTCCCGTGGCTCTTCCAGAGCGGGGCCTCAGCTCACCCTGTCTCACTCCTTGTTCCCACGCCTGGCACAGCCCTACGCCTGGCAGTGGCCCAAAGACATGCTGGTATCCGTCCAGCCCACTGACCACATCCACACTCAACCACGTCCCATTCACAGGCCTCAGCCCGGTCCCCACCGCGTGGCCCGTCCGTTGGGGAAGGGAGTGGGTGGGCAGGGGACCAGGTGGCCTCACCTTTCTTGGCACAGTCATGACGATGGGCTCACACTTGCGCTCATGCAGTTTGTAGAACCTGGGAAAGGGAAGGGAGGGAGGAACCGTGGGTGGTACCTGCCCCTCGAGGGCTCCCCTGCACTCTCCACTTCTGGGCCTCACCCCAAGCCCTCCATAGTCCGACCTTGACCCTGGCCCTGCTGTGGGCCGCTTCCTGCTCCTCAGCAGCCTTCCAAGATCTGACTGCTCACCCTGGCCAGCCATGGCTGATGGGGGACGACTCAGCCCTGTGCAGCCAGCCACGTGGGAGGCCCCTCTTACCGGGCGATCTCGCACTTGCTGACCTCCAAGCCCCTCTTAGGCATGCTGCCCATGCCCCTCTGGGGCTCTTTGCTGGTGAAAGTGTTCAGGAAGTGGATATAGGGGGGCTCGTCTGTGATCTCAAAGTACCGGATGCTGGAGTCGCCCTGCGGAGGGGAGGCGGCAGGGGTCAGCACCCAAGCGGGCCGCCTGCTTCCCCCCCCGCCCATCCGCCCTGCCTGGCCCCACCTTGCCGCAGACGTAGACCACGTTGGTGTCTGGGTCGTAGAAGGGCAGCAGCGCCCCGTTGCTCGAGTCCAGTTCCTGTAGGGCCATGGGTTCCTCAAGGTTTTCCTGCCACATGGGGTGGTGGGCAGTGAGGCCAGGCTGGAACCTTTTTTCCCTCTCCTCACCGTCCAGGCCCATTAGGACTGGTCCCAGGCCACCTCCCATGCCAGCTGGCACGGCCCCCACCAACGCCAGATGGGTTTTTTTCCCACCCTCCTGGATCCCTTCCACTCCCAGGATCCCACTTTCTTGGGCCACTCCAGGCCTTTCGTTCCCACCACGTGCGAGCAGGGGGGTGCCAGGCAGCACTACCCTGTCTCAGAGGGACCCACGGAGGCCACTACACAGCAGCACAGGGCTGTGGGACAGAACACTTCAGGAGAAGGGCTGGGAGGCCTCCTGGAGGGGAGGGCCTCTGCACTGGGCCCCAAAGGGCCACCAGATGGGAGCAGGCAAGCCAAGGAGGGAAGGGCTTTCAATAGGCAAGAACAGTGTTGGCAAGGGCCTGGAGGATGCTGGAGGCAGCAGAGGAGGCTGGAGAGCAAGGGGCAAGGACAGAAGAGACTGGCAGGGTTCCAGGTCCCGAGAGCCTCAGGTGCCAGGCTGAGAACCGCAGACCCACGCACCCTCTCCAGGGTGACTCCTACCCTCCTTGCCCAGGTTGGGGTCCAAGTCTCAACCAAGCCTGACCCTCAGGCTGACCGTGGCCACTCACCAGGTCCCACAGCGCCAGCTGCCGCTCGCTCATGCGGCTGAAGCCTGTGGTGAACACCTTGCCATCGGCCAGGAAGATGGCCCGCATGGGACGGGCCCCTTCGTGAGCCTTCTCCCTCTCCTATCCGGGACAGGAGAGGGGGTGCAGAGTGGTCAGTGCGGCAGCCAACAGAGCCCCCTGGCCTGTCCACTGCCACCCCCCAGGTGTCCAGGGCCGCGCACCGCCACCAGGGTGCCCCGGCGGGGGTCGATGACGCGCACGCTCTTGTCTTTGCAGGCGGAGCAGAAGAGGCTGCCATTGCGGTTCCAGCTGACGTTGTAGATGAGGTCGGGGTGCAGACTGTCCAGGCGGTACAGCTCCTCCGCCGTGCCCACGTTCCAGATGAGCACCACGTTGTCACAGCCTGCCGGGCAGGGGCCATCAGCCCACCGGGCGGGCTCGGACCACCCTCCAGGCGCCACACCCGGCCCCCTGACCTCTGTGGGCCTCGGCCTGACCCCCGGTCGGGTGGGCCTGGAAGAGGGTGTGGGTTCTGGAGCTGCGCAGAGGGGGCGGGGGCGGGCGGTGCAGACCTGCGCTGAGCAGCACGTTTCGGGCCGTCGGGTGCCAGGTGACAATGCCCACTCGCTTGGTGTGTCCCTCCAGCAGCACCACTGGCTCTGTGAGCGGGGTGGTGAGCCCGTTTTCCGGGATCTGCCACACCTGCGGGGCGTGGGGGTTGGGGGGGGAGATGCCAGTTGAAGCCTCTGCTTGGCCCCGGCTGCCAGCAGCCTTGAGCCACACCTGTGATCCAGGCCCAACCACAGCCCCGTGCCTCACCATGACAGTACAGTCCTCTGAGCCGCTGGCAATGACTTCGTCGTTGTGGGGACACCAATCGATGTCCAGGACGGGTCCAGTGTGTCCACACACCGTCGGGTAGGCCTTGTCAATGCGGCCCGTCTGCGGGCACGAGAGGGGCAGTCAAGGGGAGAAGGAAATGTTTGTTGCCTCTGACCCTGACTCCGTGGTAATAAACCTCTCTCCATCTGGGATAACATCTCTTTTAGGCAATAAATCTGAATCATGACATCTGCCCACAGTGGTGTAGGGATGGGCAAGTTACGGAAAGTGAGGTGAGCAGAGAGGCCTGGCAGGTGTGGCCCGTCTCCAGTCCTTCCCCCAGCCCTCATGGAGCCCACCTTGCTCAGGGGGAGCACGAGGAAGGCACCCCCGCCGCTGGCCTCCACGATCACAGCCAGGAATTTGGGATTGACGGCACAGAATGTGCTGTCCCAGGTGACACGGGACACTCGAATATCTTCATAGCACTGGTCATTCTTGACTGGCTGTCCAAACACGTGCCGGAATTTGCTCTGCCTGACCACTTTGCGGAAGGACATGTCTGCAGGGCGGGGAGGCTTCCATCAGCCCTCACCCATCCCAACAGCCCTCAACCTTCCCAGGGCAAGGGAGGTGGGGAGGACGCAACCGGGTCTTGGCTTTCAGGTTCCACAGTTACAGGATGGGGTCACAGATGCAGACCCTGCCACCCATCAAGTGGGCATCGAGGTGGGGGGGTGGGCAGCGCACTGACCCAACGACCACGCTGTTGAGTCCCAAGGGGCTTTTCAGGACCCTACCCAGGCGCTTCCCCGGCTCTGATATGTGGGGGAGGTGGGAGGTTCGGAAGCCAGGGCAAGCTTAACTCCTCTATGGGTCCGAGTCAGTTCCAAACGAGCTCCTTCCTGCCCAGGATTTGGAAGCTGGGTGATGGGGAAAGGTCTCCAGTGTGGAGCCGCGCTAGGCCCGAGTTCTGAGCCCCGGGGAATGTGCAGTGGCTGCAGAAATGTGCAGGGAGCTGCAGGGAGCTCCAGGCCGGCCCAGGGGGCCTGGCAGGGACTGGGCGGGGGATCAGGATGCCGCTCCTGGCCGCAGAGCATCCCAGAGCGTCCTCGGAGCGGGGTCGAAGGTGAACCTAGAGGGGGAAACGCTGGGCGGCCACAGCGAGTTGGGGCTGAGGGTGGAGCGCCGCGGAGAGTAAGGGCTCCTCGGATTCGCGACCCCCCACCCCAGCCTCTCGAGGCTCCGCCCCCGCAGCCCCGCCCGGTCCCGCGCTCGCGCTCCCAGCTCCGGCCCGCCGCGCTCACCGGGGACGCCGGGGGCTGCAGCACCGGCCTCGGGCGGCTCCGGATCCCGGCCTCTGGGAAGCAGGAAGCGGGAATCAGGAAGTGACAGAGGAGCCGGGGACGGGGGGCGGGGGGGGCGGGGCGGGGGCTCGCGGGGGCGGGGCCGAGGTCACGCGCGGAGGGGCGGGGCGGGAGACTGCGAGTGGGCCCCGGAGGCCCCGATCGCCCGGGCTAGGGGAGCGCAGGGGCGGTGCCTGGGCGAGCCCCGCCCCTCGGGCGCCGGGTCCCTCCCCGGCGAAGGGGCGGAGATAGGGGTGGGGGTCGGAGGGGCAGTGGGTGCGGGTTGCGGGGTGTAGGTCGTCCGCGACCCCCGCGCCTTCCCGGTCCTGCTCCTCTGGCCGTGCCCTCGGGATTGTCAGGATTGGACGGAGCCCGCCGTGCCAAGCCCCCTTCCCAGCGCCAGTGCCCCAGTCAATCCCCGACTCCGAAATACAGGATCCGGTCTGACAGTCAATATATTCACGTGCCTCTTTTTAAAGGTTACAAAATTACACGCTCGTGATGAACAATGTAAATACAGCAGCGGTGTTCTGAGGGGCGCGTGGAAGGCCCCAGCCAACCCACTGTTTTCGGTGAACACCACTGGGGCCTGCTGAGCCTCCTTATTAAAAATAGAAATGGGAACATGCCCCTACCAGACCCCAGGCTAGTGGTGTGTCCGCAGATGACCCCTCTTAGCTAGCTCCTGGGACAGGAGTCCAAACTGGCCTCCCCAGATCTACCCATCCCTGTCCCTGTCTCACCCTGGGGGGACTTAAGTGTCTCTGTAAGTCCGACAGGCACAAACTGTCCCCTCTGCCTGGGGCTGGTTTCCCTGGCGGATGGGCCCCCCCCCTTCCCTCATCTTCCTTGAGGTGATGGTCAGGGTCCCTTTTCCTGAAAAAGAGAGGTAGATGGGAAGAGGAGGGAAGAACAAAGCCAGGAGACTTATCTGGGGCTGCAGGAGGCCCCCCTGTGTCTCACGCAGGCTGGGGCTTACACCCTCTTAACCCTTCCCACTCCCTGATGAGGAAACAGCTTAGAGGGGAGGGGTGCCTGTCCCAGGTCTCCCTACCAAGATTTAGTCCCCATCTGTTTGGCTCCAAAGTCCTTGCTTTTCCCTCTGTTCCACACACCCCGGGACAGGCTGACCCTTCCAAAAAAGGACAGGAATGAGGGTGCTTTGGAAAAGGGAATGCAGCTACTAAGCCTGTTTCTCCAATGTGCCCTCCAGGCAACAGCCAGGGGTTGTTTAAAGCCCAAACTAGACCCCCTACCCCAAACCCTCTCCACACTCCTCACTGTCACACTTGAAATAACTTTAGTCCTTGTGCCACTCACCCCCCCCCCCCCATACATTACCTTCCTCTGTCCTCTCCTGGCACGCGGCCCAGTGACACTGATTCTCCTGAAACAAACCCCCTTCTTTCCCACACCAGGGCCTGGGTACATCCTGTTCCCTCCGTCTGGAAATGCTCCCCCCAGATTGTGAAAAGGCTCCATCTCTCACTTTCTCCAGATCTCAGACCACCCCCTCGCTGGTCACCCTCTGACCCTTACTTGTTCCTCCTGCATCCTCCTTAATCCCTATCTGATGTTCTACTATGTAATTATTTGTGTATTTGCTTTTTGTCTGCCCCGCCCCACTAGAATGTCAGCAAACTGAGGGTGGCACTTTGTCCCTGTTCCCACTGTATCCCCAGCACCTAGAAGGAGACCTAGCACACTGCGTGGGGTCAAGTCCTGTACGCTGAATGAATGAATGAACAGCAGTCCTGAATGTAGAATTGAAAATGTTCATATTCACAACTCAGAATAAACGCACCTCTCGGCTGGAGAAGGGGCGCGTCTCCTAGAGGGCAGCAGGAGCCCCCTTCCCCAGGGTGTTAGGGATGAGGTGGATGGACCGTAGAATGTCAGGGAGGAGCCCTGCCTTCACCCTCTCTGGCCTTGGGTGTGCATATTCCTCTAACACAAAACTCCTCTTCATCCCACAAAACCCTTCATAACACCGCTCTTTCTCCTGGATAGCAATTCCCCTTACGGGGGAGATTTGCCCTTGCGACCTTGGAGGTGGGGCTTCCCCACTCTCCCACAGGCTGGGTTTGGAATGGGGACCAGAGCTGAAGGCAGGTGGCAGGCACTGGGGGTTTCGTGCCTGCTCTGTGTGTCCCGTTGGAAAAGCTTTGGGACCGCTCTCTGGGGGAAAGGGGGAAGGGCGCTGCAGAGTGCCCCGAGGATGACTCCAGTCTGGACCCTGGCTCCAGGGGCTATGCACCCAGTGGGGTGGGGCATTTCTTGCAGAAGTGGAAAGCAGTACAATGGAGGGGACAATACCTAGTCGACAGCCATGTGGGCTCTGGCCCCTGGGCGAGTGTCAGTCCCAGGTCTGGGTGAGTCTTGGGGATGCCCACCAGTACAATTAAATAAATGGTTAACAAATTACTCAGCACTTACTCTTTGCCAGGCAAGGATCCAAATACTTCATAGAGATGAACACTCCTAGGGAATGGGGACCCTTGATCTGATCCGCATTTTACAGAGGAGGAAACTGAGTCTCAAAGAAGCCAAGGGCCTTGCTGAAGATCACACAGCTGGTGAATGGTGGAGCTTGGATTCAAAAGACCCCCCAAGGGGCACCCGAGGTCATGCCCCCCCACCCCACGTGGCCATGTGTCCCTAGAATGGAGGGCTGGCCGGAAGGTCACCTAGCAAGTGCTCAATAAATGAATGAATTCAACAAATTTGTGTCCATTCAGAAATCTCTTTCCTGAAGCCTCAGTGTCCACAGTCCCGTCGGCAGGAAATGCTAGAATTAGGGCCCCCCCCCAGCATTGTCACTGTTGAGCGTGCTTCCTTCCCCAGGCCCAGCCCTCGCAAGGGGAACACCTCCGCCCCATTATACAGAGGAAAAACGCTGAGGTGAAGAGGGGGCGAGCAACCCGGATCCAGATCTCCCTGCACCTCTCCAGACTCCCCCCACCCTCCCGCTGCCTGCTGCCTTTTTCAGACGGAGGCAGACCTGGAAGGGCTGCACAGAAGTGTCTGTCGTCTACACCAGCAGTCAGGGAGGCTCAAAGGATGGGGGGGGCGGGGGGGATGTTGGGGCCAGTTAAAAGGGGGAAGGGCTCATGGTTCTGGAGCACAGTGGGGGGAGGGAAAGCTGGGTGAAGGGGGCAGCCAGAAGAGAGCGCCGGTGTGAAAGGCAAGGGGGGTACAGAAATGAGAACTTCAACTCTTCCTACTTTTTCTTGCAGTGTCTGCAGCTTGAGAGGGAAGAGGGGGCTCGACCTCATGGGGGCCTGTACCTTTTCTGGAGCCACTGGTCCCCAGAGCTTTCTCTTTGGCTGTCCCCCCTGCCCCCCGCCCCCCGCAGCCTGTGGGTTGAGGGCAAAGAAGGAGCTCAGCTGGAGGCAGGACCAGGACACTCTGTAGCCTGGGTGGCAGGTGGCTGGGGTGGGTGGACACTTGTCACACCCTTGAGTGGAGGGAGCAGACGCTGAAGTCCTCTGGAGCCATGAGAGGTGCAGAGTTGGCCTCACACTGTCTCAGGCTCCCCTGGGGAGGCTGAGGCCCGGAACTGGTCACAGGCACAGCTGATCTGTCTCAAAGCTCCCAAGCGCCAGGCCAGGAGGCATCTCCTCCCATTTGACTCCCGGAGGGATTCCTGGCGGGAGGAAGGGACCTTCCTAGATGGCCGTGAGGATAGGACTTCTGATTCCTGAGGCCCTACTGTGTGCTGGGCTCTAGCTGAGTGCTTCCCATGCTTTCTGACTTAACCCCCCCACCCGGCGGATGAGGCAGAAGCTGAGAGGGTAAAGCGGCTTGTCCAGAGTCACGGGAGCCTGAGTGGAATCCGGGCCTGGTAGCTCTGGTCACTGCTCCCACTGCCTTGCTGAGGGAAGCCTGCTGAAGTTCTCACCACTTGTTGTGGACAAGGGGCCTGGCCAGCCTGCATGGGCTCCTAGGCCCCAGGGTCCTGCAGGCTCTTGAATGCCCTCCCTCTCTGCAGGGACTTGCTCCTTTGGTGTCCTCTGGCCCCACGTTAGAGGGTCAGAGAGGGAGGAGAAGAGGGAGGGAAGGAGCAAAGGGAGGTCAGCGCGAGACCGGGGAGGTCACCACTGCTGGCTGTCTCCTGCAGGACTGAGGCTGGGGGAGACTGTCAGTGGGGTCTGGGCTGTCAGGGGCAGAGCCCAGCTGGAGACCATGGGCTCCGACTGCTGGGCCACTGGGTGAAGGGGACAAGCGGGACCTGAGTGGGGACAAGACGTTCGCGACAAACTGCCTGGGACATTTTAGTGCTTTTTCACTTCCCCAATGTCCTCCTGCCAGGCCCCGGGGACTGGGTGGGGTTTTCCACAATGACTTCCTCCGTGGCTCCCCTCTGCTCTGACTGGCTGCTTCGTTTGTCCCCCTCAGGTTCTTCCCCTGCCCTGATGGGCCTGGGCTTTCCGAGACCCTCACGTGGGGCCTGTCTTCTCTGGGGGGACACTGCTGGGGCTTTCTCCCTCACAGGCAGCAGGCACAGCTGGGTTCTCGGGGGCTTCTGGGATGGGATCTGTGGAGGGAGCAGAGGGAACTTCATCACAGGGCCTGGGGGCTGAGCCAGAAGGGGTTCCGAGGGTCTGGGCCTTAGGGCACTCTTGTGCCTGAACCACAACGTCCAAATGGGACTGGGCTTCATGGTTCACCTGGGGCTGAGCTGAGGAGTTCAGCTGAGGCTGGACCACAAAATCTGACTGTGGGGGGGGCCACAGGCTCCAACTGTGGCTGGGCTGTGGCATCCCCCTGTGGAGGTGCCACAGAATCCAGTCGTGGAGGAGCCACAGAATCCAACTGTGGAGGGGCCGCAGAATCCAACTGTGGCTGGGCTGTGGGGTCCGCCCGTGGGGCGGCCACAGAATCCAACTGTGGAGGGGCCACAGAATCCAACTGTGGCTGGGCTGTGGGGTCCGCCCGTGGTGCGGCCGCAGAATCCAACTGTGGCTGGGCTGTGGGGTCCGCCCGTGGGGCGGCCACAGAATCCAACTGCGGAGGGGCCACAGAATCCAACTGTGGCTGGGCCATGGGCCCTGGCGAAGTGTGGCCCCCAGAATCCACTTGGGTCTGTGGCTCGGCCGGCGTGGAGCTGCCGGGCCATTCTTCACAGAGAGCCGCCTCGAAGGAGGAGAGCATGGCACGCAGCAGGGCGCGCAGGTCGGCACTGGCCAGGAGGCAGAGGAAGGGACTGAAGCAGCTGTTGAGCAGGGTCAGGTAGTCGGAGTAGACCAGGGCCTCCCAGAGCAGGTAGCCGGGGTAGACGTCCCACAGGAAGGCCAGGTACAGCAGCTGCGCCAGGTGGTAGGGCAGCCGCAAGACCACGTAGGCGGACAGGATGGTCTGGGCCACGCGGGCAAAGCCACGGGAGGCCGCGGGCCTCGGCCGGCGGCAGCAGGTCTTGCAGGCGGTGGCCGCCTGGGTGAGCACGTGGCAGACGAGCAGCAGGAGGAAAGGCAGGAAGCCCCCCAGGATCTCGAGCATCCGCAGGGGCAGCTCCTCGCTGTCCCAGAAGTCCAGGCAGATGACCAGGTCGTACCACCAGTCGGCGGCCTCCGGGAAGACCAGCCAGGGCACACTGAAGAGCGTGGCCAGCACCCAGACGCCGGCGCAGACCCAGAGGGGCAGGCGGGCCGGGCGGTGCCCCGGGTACCAGCGCGGGCACAGCGCCAGCAAGCAGCGGTCCACGCTGAGCGCCGCCAGCAGGAAGAGGCCGGAGGAGTAGGACACACCCCACAGGAAGTAGTAGAAGCGGCAGGCCGCCGTCCCCAGCGGCCAGTGTCCTCCCCGCTGGATCTCCAGGATCTGGAAGGCTGCCGCCGCCAGGAACAGAAAATCTGAGACGGCCAGGCTGAGCAGGAGCAGGGCAAGCCGCCTGCCCGCTCCCTGCCGGGCCTGCGAGCCAGCCAGCCACGCCATGAGCCCATTGGCCGGCAGCCCCAGGAGCAGCAGGGCCACCAGGAAGACCGTGTCCCAGACACCCTGGGGATAGTAGTCTTCATCGTCTGGCTCTGTGCGGGGCCCGAGGCCGGTGGCACCCGGGTCGGCTTCCATCGCGGTGTCCGTCCGAGGTCCCCTGTGTGCTGTCCACAGAGCGGGGGCCTGATGGATCAATGGAATCATGAGGGACTGAGTATGAGAGAGAGGGTGCTGTGTATCTCCAGGCACGTCACTGTCCTTCTCTGAGCCGTCGTCATCGCCTTTTGGGTGGTTAGCCTCGGCCGGGGCCTTTAAGTAGACGACGCCACCTAGTCTTCAGACAATCCATTTTATAGGAGAGGGAAGGAAGGTTCAGAGAATTGGTGACTCGCCCAAGGTCAGAGGTAGGACAGAGGCTCCAGGCCTGAAACTCACACCTAACCATTCTGCCACTCGGAATCCCAGTGCACCCGATAGAGTTGGCTTTCGAACATGTTTTTAAAGCTGTGAATGTTTTCTTCAAATAAAATAGCACAGCAGAACTCCCACATGAACAAGAAGGGAGTGCTCAGATTAAAGGAGGGGGAGCACCCCTGGGGCTCCAGGGAGGACAGTTTGTGCAAACTGCTTGGTCAGATCGCCGCAGGCCCCTTCCCATCTGGTATCCTGGGATTCAAGTGCTTTAAGATCCCCAGACGGGGGAGGCCCAGGGTCCCATGGGCCCGTAGGAGTCCCAGGATCCTGGGCCAGAGGAGACCCTCCCCACAGCAAGTGCAGTTCCTGAACTCAGGTGGGGGTCTGCAGCTCAGGCCAGGACAGCCGTCCCAGAAGCAGCTCAGCCCTCTTCATCATCCTTGACCTCCCTCTGGGGCCATGTCCTCATTCTCACAGCTCAGGCAGAAGGTGGTCCTCTGAGGCCACCACACAGAAGGGGTCGGGGCTCCGCAGTGTGATGAGGATAGCGTGGCTGGGACCCTGGAGGCCTGCTGCCTCTCCCACCCCGCCTCCACCTTCCCTCATGGACCTTATGGATGGAGGGATTTTCCCTCTGAGAGTGGAGGAGGTGCTGAGGGCTGAGTCAAGGGAGTATGTAGACAGACCCCAAAGGCCGGCTCCTGCCTGTGGCCCACCACTCCGGCCCCTCTGCCTGTAGCCCGGGGCTCTCCTCCCCGCTAAGCCTCTTCCTCAGGCAGACCCTGCTCTGCCAGCTCCAGCCTCTGCTGGATCATAGCCCTGAGCTGCCCCGAGCCCCCACAGGTGAGGCCTGGCTTACCTGTGAGGTGCGCTCTGGGGCGTGCCTGCCTGCCCAAGGGTCCAACCATCCGCGGGGCCCCACGCCAGCAGAGCCTGCTGCATGGCGCCCGGCGGCGCTAAGGCGGCCGGCATGAAACCCAAGCTGAGAAGACATCAATCATTCATGGGGCTGCTCGCCAGGAAACCCTAACCCCGGCCTAGCAGGGCCAAGTGACCAGCCAGGCCACCCCATCCCTGATAGAGCCAGAGGGCTAAAACCTCCTCACCCTGCCTCCAAGTAAGCTCCTTGGTGGCCTCCGAGCAGTCTCTGGGTTCCCCCCGCCTCTAGGGTCCACCTCTTCTGACATCCCCTCCATGTCCCTCACTCTGGCATTCAAGGCCTCTGTGATTGGGCCTCCCTTCTGCCATTTCATACACCCTCCGCTCTGGCCACACTGTCCCGCCGTCAGGCGGCTGCAGTGGGCGACTCATCCCAGCCTCTCCCTTCTCCCAGCTTTTGCCCACACTCTGCCTCCTGACGTGACTTCCCTTGTCCTCTCTTAGCTAAGTCCTGCCCATGTCACACGACTGGATTTGGGGACTGGAGTCAAGGACAGAGAGTCCCTGCCTCTTCAGCGATATGCCCCCCCCACCCCCCTGCTCCCGTTTCATAGACAAGGCGACCCAGAGGTGGACTTGCTGGGCCTCCCAGCTCGTGGGGGGCGGAGCAAGAGTACTAAGCTCCTTGTAGCCTTGTGTCCTGGCACCCCTGTGGCTGGGGACAGTTCTCTTCACCCACGTGACTCTGCCCCCAGGCAGAGGGTCCAGATTAGGGCCTGCGCTGCCTGCCTCACTTACCCTAATCCCCTTCAAGTCTCATCCCCGCCCGCCATCGGTTCTCATGGTAGGGGTGCATAAGCAGCTTTATGGTTCCTGAGAACCAGGGGTGCTCCCTGGTCTTGCGTCTCTGAGCCCGTCGTCCCTCCCCACATGGCCGCAGAGCAGGCGAGGGGGCTGCATGGCCCAGACCCGGCCCCCAGCCCGCAGAAGCCTCCTGCGGGGGTCGTGGCTTCCAGGAGTGGTGCTGAGGGCCTCCTCTTGACCAGGAAGAGGAGCAAGAAGGAGAGGGGGCTCCGAGGGTCCCAGAAGGGTGCTGGCAGCTCTCAGGAGCAGACCCCTCTCCCGGGTCCCGAGGCCCCAGGGAGCAGCAGGAACCCCTCTGGGACTGGAGGACAGGAGGGGACGGGTCCTGCAACCCCAGGGCCAGCCTCCCGTCGCCAGTCCCACCGGCATCGCTCTGGCCCCCAGCACGATGCTGCTCAGAAGACATACGGACCCTTGCTCAACCGCATCTTCGGGAAGGTCAGGTGGGGCGTGGGCTGGGGGTGGGGTTGGGGGTGGGGCAGGGATCTCACTTGTGCCCTTGGACTCGGCCTGCCCTGCTCCTGGTACTCAGGCCTCCAGCCACCTCTGCTCCAGACCCAGGATTCTGTGAGAGCTCTGGGCCCCAGGAGCAGGAAGGGGGGTGGTCATGTCTTCTCCAGGGGCCCATGGGAGTCAGATGCCTTCTCCTGCCCTTGTGGGACTGGCCCTGCCCAGGCCATCGTGGCCCAGGGCTGGAGGAGGAAGGATGGGCCCCAGGGACATGGCGGACTATGCTTCTGCAGGACCGCGAGCTGGGCCCCGAGGAGCTGGATGGTGAGTGGTCCTGGCTGTTGGCAGAGGCGGATGGGAGGGGTCCCTGACCCGGGCTGCCTGGGCCTGACCTCCCTTCCCTGCAGAGCTGCAGGCCGCCTTTGAGGAGTTTGACACTGACCATGATGGCTACATCGGCTACCGGGAGCTGGGCGACTGCATGAGGACACTGGGCTACATGCCCACCGAGATGGAGCTCATCGAGGTCTCCCAGCACGTCAAGATGAGGAGTTAGTGACTGACCCCCACTGTCCCAGGGCAGGGTGGGGTGGGAGTCACCTTACTTTGTGCCCAGGCTGGGCAGCCCTGGTCCTCTCTGAGTTTCGTGGTTTGGGGGATGACGAAGAGGTGGTGGGAGGTGGCTCTGGGAGTCCGCAGGGGTGATGGTGGGAGTGGGTGGCAGTTTCTAGGGCTTTCTGACCATCTGACATTAGCCTTGTCAGGTGCAGGGGTCATGAAAGTCGCCCGTGATCCAAGAGACCCTTGGGGCTTGGCTAAGGACCCCCCCGTCTCTGTGATACTAGTGATAAAATGTTCCCAGCTGGCTCTCTTCTCTGTGTCTCTCTGACCCTCCTGAGGTCCCTGAAAAGAGCCTCCGGGGTTCAGTGAGGCCTAGTGTGACTGAACGCTGGCCTTTCTTTGTGATTAAGTATCAGATAGACGGGGCACTTGTGACTATCATTAGCTGATTTGTCAAATATCAGATTCCCTTCATTCCAGGGCACCTGCATTTGGTTTTTCTATGGTTTCCAAAATGGGATGTGACTTACGGTTAATGTGAACATTCAGTGTTGTGCTTCTTTTCTTTTCCCCAAAGCTGTTATTTGCCCATTGGTGCTTTTTACAGTGGATGGTAGCTTAGAATCAAGAAACCGACTGGGCACACTTCTTAAGAAGCATTTATTGCTGCCCATGGGGTCCCAGCATGTAAGAGCCATGCACTGCCACCCCAAAAGCACCCAAGAGTGGGTCCTCTCATCCTTGCCCCAGGATGAGGAAGGAGGGTTCATGAGTCCCCCAAGGCCATGCCCCTTTGGCAGCCAAGGCAGAGTTTGAACCTGGAGCTGCCTGGGTCCAAACCTTGGGCTCCTTCCCCCACACTCACGTGCTTCACTGAGAGCACCTAAGCATCTCGCCCTGTAGTCCCCGTGGAGAGCAGGGCTCCTGCCTCCTCTCCCCTGCATCCCCAAGGGCTTGGATGCTAAGGATTCCTTCCCAGATGCAGAGCTGGGGAGAGGCTGGCACCTGTGACGCTTGCGACGTCCCTTCTCGGGCCCGGCCCTTTCCACCGTGACGCTCTGCCTGGGTCCACAGTGGGTGGCCGCGTGGACTTCGAGGAGTTTGTGGAATTGATGAGCCCAAAGCTGAGGGAGGAGACGGCGCACATGCTGGGGGTGCGGGAGCTGCGCATCGCCTTCCGAGAGGTGTGGAGTGTGGTCGAGTCGGGTGCTGGTTGGGTGACTGGACAGCAGACCTGCTGGCCTCTCATCCGGGCCAGAAAGACTGGGGGTGGGGTTCAGCCTCTGGAGGCCCATGGCCCCGCAGATAGGGGGCCTAGGGCCAGGGAGGGGTTGGGGAAGGTCTAGCTCACTCTCAGCTGGGGGACCTGCCCAGGGAGACTTCCTGGAGCAGGCGGCCTGCTGTCCCAGCTTGGGAAGAGGTGGAGGGTTTGGATGGGCGCAGGTGGGGGCATCCAGGCCCGGGATGTGGCAAGATAGAGATGGGTTCAGGCAGAGACAGCTTTGGGGTGGGAGGGGCTGAGCCCTGCTGGAATCCTAGTTTGACAGGGACAGAGATGGACGGATCACCGTGGCAGAGCTGCGACAGGCAGCACCAGCTTTGCTGGGGGAGCCACTGGTGGGTCCTGAGCTGGATGAGATGCTCCGAGATGTGGACCTCAACGGGGATGGCACCGTAGACTTTGATGGTGAGTCTCCTTCCCATCCCACCCCCACCCTTCCAGCGCCCAGGAGGAGCCCAGCGTGTCCTGGGATCCCTGACCTGGACTGGCCCAAGCCCTGCCCCTTGTTTCCTCCAGAGTTTGTGATGATGCTTCTCACCCACTGAGGCTCCAGCAGGGAGAACCTGTTGTCCCTATGGCCGCAGGCCAGCAGGGTTCACGCTATACACCCTCCCCACGAGGCCCCAGAATGGAAGAGACCCAGTGGCTCCCAGGCTGCTTCGGAACCTTGACAACATCTGACTGGTGCTTGTGCGGTCACCCACCCACCTGCATCCTCACCTGCCTCCCCGCGGAGCTGCCGGGAGGAAACCTGCCTCCAGCTGCCTCTCATTCTCCAGTATGAGCAAGATTTTGGATCTCTCCAGAACTTGGGAGGTAATAAGCTCCTGGGCACTGCAGCGTTCAAAGACAGGGGGACAGCGTTGGCAGGATTCTGGTAGCGTGGTGAATTGGGAGGGTGACAGCTGTGCCTCCCACTATTAAAAAAAAAAAAAAGCTTAACTTGAAAGAAAGCCAGGGGTGACCCCAGGTACTAAAGACAAGGCAAGAACTCAAAGCTGGGTGGTGGGAGAGTGGGGACACCATGGGGGCCTCAGCATAGAGAGAAGTTCCGGAGCCCCGGCTCTGACACTTAAGAGTGACAGAAGATCTGTAAGAGAGAGACCAAGGAACAGAACGTGAGCCTGACTACCTTTCAGGAAAGAGCTACCCTGTTCTTGAAGAGAGGATCAAATATATTTCCACCTACCGGCCTGAGGAAGTGGCAAGGGTACAGATGTCCAGGGCCTCGAGGGGTAAAAGCTACTCTAAGGAACTTGAAACTCAGGCTTGCCCATTAGGTAGGAGAGCTGACCCGATAGGGAGAAGCTACTGGAAGGGCACGCTTCAACCCAGGACACGAGGGGCTTAACAGCCCTGTCACAAAAGGAAAACCCTATGAACAACTTGTCTGGAGACAAAAGTCCGATGGCTCACTGGGGAAGAGCGATTCGGCTCTGCAAAGACTTTTCATTGGCTGCGGTAAATGCCAGAAGACAATGAGATTAGCTGGTCATCAGGCTGAGAAGAAATGATTGCCGGCCAAGAAGCCTATCCCTCACTGAATCGTTATTCAAGAAGGAAGGTGAAACATCAACTTTTTTCAGGAAATGAACGTTGGGAAGAGTTTCCCAGCCATGTGCTCTTGTGGAAGGGATGGCTTCAGTAAGAAGGAAATTCAGACCTGAACAAAAGCAGAGTATGTACTAAATCATGGTCAGGAAAGCGATCAGTAAACACATTGGTGGATTCAAAGAAGCATTAACTGAAAAAAAAAAAAAAGTTAATTTGGGGGATTTTGAAAATAAGGGGGGACTAAAATAATAGACAAAATAAAATGGAAGATGAGGGGGGATACTTTAAACATGCTAATATCTTTTTTCTCATCTTTCCTAGAGGAGGATTCACTGATCAGTTTAGAATTTGTTAACCATTAAAAGGGAATCATTAATGTATAGAAATAGAGATAGAATGTTCTTTCTTTCTTTCTTTCTTTCTTTTTAAAGATTTTATTATTTATTTATTTACTTGACAGAGATCACAAGTAGAGAGTAAGGCAGCGGGGAGTGGGGAGCAGGCTGCCAGCTGAGCAGAGAGCCCGATGTGGGACTCGATCCCATGACCCTGGGACCATGACCCGAAGGCAGAGGTTTTAACCCACTGAGCCACCCAAGCATCCGACTCTTGATCTCAGCTCAGGTTGTGATCTCAGGGTCACGAGTTCAAGCCCCGAGTTGGGCTCCACGCTGGGCATGGAGCCTATGTTAAAAAACAAAACAAAACAAACAAAAACAGAAGGCAGAAATAATCCTTTAAAAATAAGAATTCTGGGGTGCCTGGGTGGCTCAGTGGGTTAAAGACTCTGCCTTCAGCTCAGGTCATGATCTCACGGGTCTGGGATCAAGCCCTGCATCGGGCTCTCTGCTCAGCAGGGAGTCGGCTTCCTCCTCTCTCTCTGCCTACTTGTGATCTCTGTCAAATAAAAAAATAAAATCTTAAAAAATAAAATAAAAATAAGAATTCCAATAATTATGAGCTGATTAAGTTTTTGGTTAAAAGAGAATCTCAGGGGGCGCCTGGGTGGCTCAGTGGGTTAAAGCCTCTGCCTTCAGCTCAGGTCATGAGCCCAGCATCCTGGGATCGAGCCCCACATCGGGCTCTCTGCTCCGAGGGGAGCCTGCTTTCTCCTCTCTCTCTGCCTGCCTCTCTGCCTGCCTCTCTGCCTGCTTGTGATCTCTGTCTGTCAAATAAATAAATAAAACCTTAAAAAAAAAAGAGAGAGAATCTCAGCCCCAGAGGAAAGTTACAATATGACACTGGGTTTCCTGTGACTGACAAAGAAATAACGATGCCTTAAAATGGATAAAATCTTATTTCTTAGGTGAAATCCAGCTGTATGGTCTTCAGGGAACCAAGGTCCTGCTAGCTGCCTGCCATTCCTGGGGTATCCTCAGGTGTGTTCATTTTCCAGGTGGCAGGTTTGGAGGCAGGAACAAAGGACAAAAGGGGACAAAGAAGGTGAACCACTCATATCCCATTAGGTAGGGCTCCTCACCTGGTACATGTAGCTGCAAAGTATGCTGGGAAATGTAGTCTTTATTTGGGGCACCCACATACCCAGCTAAAGACCAGAGGTCCTTCTACTGTAGGACAGAGAGCGGACACCAAAGGGCAGATGCCGGGCTCTTCCCCACAGCTGAGTGCAGGATCTAAGACACATTCAAGCAGCACAACGAGAATGGAAAGGCCGAAAGTGATGGCTTGGAAAAGAGATTTACCAGGAAAATATGAAAGAAACCAAAAGAAACGGTGTTTAAGTACAGGGAGAGCAAACAGAAATGGGCTATAAGGCAAAAAAGCATTAGGGGTAAAATGAGGCATAATTCACTAAGGAAATCTAACGTTCCTCATCTGGACACAAATATCAATGTATTTTTCAACAAAGAAAGAAGCCACATTTAGAGCTTCATTATCTCCTGAGGATAGGGCTACTGTCAGCTCAGTTGGGATTACATAAATTACCCAGCCCAAGTGAAGCACACTGGTCATGCTGAAACTTTAAAGGTTGTGATTCAGTGTCCTGTCCATGTGTTCACATGGACCACGGGTTGGTCAATTTTTCTTGTAAAAGGTGACAGGGTAAAGATTTTAGGCTTGGAGGAAATACAGTTTCTCTCACGACTGCCCAGCTCTGTATCCCCAAGCAGCCACGGCCAACACAGAAATTAATAGTTGTGGACGGGCTGGAAATTCAGTAATGAATTAACTAAACTTTGATTCATTGACACTGAAATTTGAATTTTATCCACTTTTATCATACGATTTAAATCGTACTATTTGAAACTATTTAAATTGTACTATTCTTTTACTTTTCCCCCAAGGATTACTAAAATGTAAAAACCACTTTTAGCCCAGGGACCATATCGGGTCTGACACCTGCTGTAGTCTTATAATATGGAGAATCACAACTTCTGGAATAACTTTGTTTAGTTAAGATTGTGGAGGGGCACCTGGGAGGCTCAGATGGTTAAGCATCTGTCTTCGGCTTAGGTCATGATCTCAAGGTCCTGGGATCAAGTCCCATGTCGGGTTCCCAGCTCAGCGGGGAGTCTGCTTCTCCCTCCTTTCTCCCCCCTGCTTGTGCTTTCTCTGTCTCTTTCAAATGAATAAATAAAATCTTTTAAAAATAATTTAAAAAGGCAAGATCATGGAATGATGAAAAATTATGGGCAGAGTAGCAACTTTCTATATTGCCTATTTGCTCACAGCGGTTTTCACAATTTTCCTTTCTTCTTATGTTTGTTCTGATTATAGTCATTGAAATGTAATTTTACGTCTGATAAATCTGGTAATACAGACTGTGGGCTTATATTCTGTATGTCTTTATTTCATTTTTCCAGGTTTTATTTTATTTTGCCAAGGCACTGGTCCATGATGGATTAGAAATGAAAACTGGTCCTTTACCACAGCTGGTTTGAGAACCATGGGTTTAGGAATTCCTGCACCCCACTGGTGCCCTTCAAAGTGTCTTGACTGGGGGTTGAGGGTGGGAAGTCTGGATGGGCGAGGAGAACAGGAGTGGGAGAAGGGGTCTGGGGGCTAATTCTTCCCACAAAGTTACAGGAACCTAAAGACATCATTCTGGCTGCTGCAGACCCAATGGAAACCGGGCCACGTCTCTTCTCAGTGGCACTCGTGGGTTACTGGGGGAGAAAGACTGTAAACATCTAAGTGTATGAACAAGATCTACCCCATCTGTGGTCCTTCAGCCAGCCCCTTGGGTGGTCAGCTGGGGACACACGTGCTCTGTATCCTCTCCTCTCCCTCTTACACCCAGGTGTCTTGGAAGTCTTGGGTTATGTTCGATTCTGCCCTTGGGTGAATCAGTCTCTCTGGACCATGGTTTCCTCATCTATAAAATGGGGCTAAGGTGGTGATTATTAGAAATCACCTGTGTTAAGTGCTTAGCACAGGACCTGCTGCCTTCTAAGAGCTTGATAAATGGTAGCTATTAGGATTTCAGACTGCAGGATTCTCAAAGATTCTGTTTCCTGGCTCTCAAGATTCTGAGATGCTTGGGTTTTCCAAAAGTCTGAGATGGTCTGTTTCCAACGTTCTGTGGTTCTAAGAGTCTCCAATCACTGAGGTTCTGTGATACCGGCCCTTTCCTATTGTCTTTGCCCTTACTTCTCCCAATCCCGGGACTTGGGAAGTAGGGCAGTGGGCGGAGAGGGCTGGGCTGCTGTCTTGTCATGGCCCACATTCCGAGCTGGCTGTGGCAGTTCAGGGCCCCAGAGCCAAGCTGCAACCAGGATACCAGCCTCCAGGGCCCAGGCCTGCGTCATCTGAGTGCCCTTGGCAAGGGCCACCTGGGGCAGGCACCAATGCTGCGCCTCCAGGTAGAGGAATGGGCAGGGCCAACTCTGCTAAGGGCAGGGGGAAATGGGAAGCTGGAGGGATCTCCTCCAGGCTTGCAGGACAGAGTCCCAGGCCCAGATCTGCCCCCAAGACGGGTGGTCCTAGAGCCCCTCAGCTCCATCAGCCCTTTCCTCAGTTTTTGCAGGAGCAGGACTGCGGCCAGGCTGGTGGGCTGGGCAGGGCTGGTGGGAAAGAAGTATCAGTGGTCTCTTCTGGAATGAAGTACATTCTTTTATTAGCACAAAACACCACCAACCCAGCAGCCCCACGGCCCAAGAATAAGTTAAGGCACAGAACAGGCCAGGGGCGACTTTTCCAGGCCTGTGTATTGGGCAAACTTCCTGAGCAAACTTCGAGGGGTTGGGGGCTCCAGGGTCCCGGAGTTCTTCCCTGGAGATGAGGGAGCCGGAGCGGACCCGAGGAGCGCCTCCTGGGGCCGCTCGGAGACGAGGCTGGATACCGGCTGCCCGTCCGAGGTTCACTTCTCGAAGTAGGGCAGGTAGAAGAACTGGAAGCCCCGGTGGCCCTTGACGGCGCAGTAGATGAAGATCACGTGGTAGACTGCGGGGCGGGGCCGGTCAGCGCCGAGGGCCCGCGCAGAGCCCAGCCCGCCGCCCCCCGCCCCCCGCCCCCCCCCGGCCCCGCCCCGGAGCCCTTTCGCACCTCCGGGAACCAACAACAGGAAGCCCGGCACGAAGAAGATGGCGCTGGAGACACCTGCAGCAAGAGGGGCCGAGTCAAGGCTGGGGGCACGGGGCGGGGCTCACGGGTCACTGCCTGGGCAAGTGTCACTGTCCGCGGTAGAAGGGGCCGTTTCCTGCTAGGAAGGCGGAAGCAAACTTCCTAGGGGCCTAGGGACTCGCGGGTCCCCGAGGAATTCTTCCCTTGAGGGGGACCCTCGCTGCCTGCGGAGGTAGGAGGGGGGGCTCACCTGGCGAGGGGGCCACCTCCAGTCCCACGGCGATCAGGATCAGCACTGCACACAGATGGAGCCGCGAGGGTGAGGGCGGGAGGAGGGGGCCGGCGCCGGGGCAAGGGCGGGGTCCTCCACCCACAACCCCCAGCAAGGCTTAGGCCCTAGCAATGGTATCCTCAACCTGAACTGAAGGTTCCCTTGCCATAGACCCTTCCTGGGAAGCTCACCAAGCTCTGTGTTTTCTGAGCAGGGCCCCTGGTAGGCCCTGGGGAATGTCCCAAAAAAGAGATTTTTCTCTGCTCCTTGGTGTGCTCTTTCAGTCAATCAACAAATATTTATGGAACACCTGCTGTGTGCCTGGTACTGAGAATCCCACAGGGAAAGGCAAATGAGGTCCCTGCTCTCATGGCCCTTCCTGGTGGCGCAACCAACAAGAACCTCCAGGCTACAACTCCGGGGGGCTCGGGATCAGACTGCAGGAGGGCCAGGTCTGGCAGCACTAGAGCCTGGGGCATCAGGGAGGGGCTTCTTGGAGGCAGTGGGCCACTAAGCTGAGCAGGGGCAGCAGTAGCAACAGCAGGTAACATTTAGTTACCACTTACCAGGTGCTGCCAGGCACTGGGCTAAGCTTGTTACCTGCACTGCTTTATTGTCATTGTGACTGAATGAAAAAGATATGATCATCCCCATTTCACAGAAGAGGAAACTGAGGCAGAAAGCTGCATTCAGAAGGAGGAGGCAATCTGACTCCAGAGGCTGTGGGGATCGTGCAGGCAGAAAAGGAAAGGAGTGCTCTAGACAGAGGGAACAGCATGGCAAAGTTCCTTCCCATGGAAGGAACTTGGGGCCTTCTAGGAGCTTCCTGATTTTGCAAGAGTGGAGAGGCAAGTGCCCAGGCTCGAGGAGTTTGGCAGGGCCTGGAGACCCCGGCAAGGGACGTGGACTTTGGCTGAGGACAGTGGGTGTTGGGGAAGTCATGGCTGGATCAACTTTTCAGACCCAGAGAGCCTGGGCCCCCAGTTAGAAAATGGGATTGGGGGGAGTTAGGGAGCTGAGCTCTGTAGCAAGGTCGGTGATATAGCATGGAGGCTTGAGGACCACCATGGACTGCTATGGGATTTGTGCCCTGCACAGAGCACCTCAAGAAGAGTACACATGGGGACTGATACACTACTGACCACCTTGGCTTAGGGCTGGGGGCCCTGCCCACTCAGAGGAGGCGTGTTTTTCTAATTCCTGCAAAGGCACTTTACATGTCTAAGGTGGCCTCCAGGTAATGTCCGTGATGTGGGTTTAAATCCCAGCCCATCCACTTCCCAGCTGAGGTCTGAGCAAGTCCCTTCACCTGCCTGAGGCTCTGTCCTTACTTCTGAACTGGGATGGTATTAGTGCTTGCCCTCATGGGTACTGAGAAAATGAAAGCGGGTAAGGCAGGTGGCCAGTGTGACCAGTGCAGTGGCTGCTGGAAAAGCAATATCTCCCCCTGCCCCCAAGACGCCCAGAGATGAACTAAGGCTGCTGCTCAGCTCTCTAGCCAGGGGACTTAGACCCCTCTGGAGGAGGAAGAGCAGCAGCCACAGCTGGGCTGTCCTTACAGGCCCCTCTTGACCCCACCCCTGTCCTTTCTGGGGATCCTGAGTCCTCAGCCCCATAGACCGAGTCCAAAAACATCTGGCTGTGCGATCTGTCCGCTCTGGGCTTCGGTTCCCCCATCTGGGCAATGGATGTGCCCAGCGAGGGGCAGGGACAGGTCCTCATCCGCACTCAGACTCTGGAGAAGGGGAAACGACAGGTGCCCTGGGGACCGGGTTGGCAGGGATATCCCTGAGCACCTGTTCCTGTTCAGGTTCACAGCCCTGCCTCTCACCTGCTGCGTGACTTCCATAAGGGGGGAAATAAGCCTACGTTGCACCTGGCTCCAAGCAGACAAAGAATAAATGGCAGAGCGGTTACTCTTCTGCTCCCTGATGGATTCGGTGGGGGTAAGTTAGGAAAAAAGAAAAGAAAGGAAAGAAGGAAAAGAAAAGAAAACTTAAGTTTAGAGCACTGAACCAAGTTCCATTTCAATTATGTGTAATTTCCTGGCTGTGTGACCAGGAGGCTGGGCCTGCTCCTCCCAACGCCTCAGTTTCTTCACCTGTAAAATGGGGGTGGGGTGATGGTAGCCAGCTTCCTCCTCAGGATGCAGGGAGGCTCGGTGTGCCAAGGGGGATGCACAGCTGGCACGAAGGGAGGATGGGCCCCTCATGGGGGTAGGCAGGGGACCCTCAGGGCACTCACCCAGCCCCAGCAGCAGGAGCAGGAAGGAGGCCAGCACTACCCGGCGGTTCTTCTGGATCAAAGGGTGCTGAGTCCAGCTGGGTGGCAGGAGAGCAGGACAGGTATGAGAGGTGACACGAGCCCAACTCCCTCCTGTTACCCTTCCCCCACCCAGAGGACCGAAGGGGAAAGCCCGGGCCGCCTGTTCTGGGGGCACAGAGCGCAGGGAGCTTGAGCAGGGCCGGGTCTCACCTGCAGCAGGCGTGGTAGGAGCGCTGGGTGGTGTTGCTGATGGTGCTGAAGGACCACTGCGAGCTGCGGATGGACGTTCGGCTGGAATCCCTGCAGGCCATTTGGGCCCAGTGAGAGGCCGGAGAAGCAAGGAAGGGGTGGTGGGGGATGGTGCAGGGACTACGGCTGGGTGTTCCTGCGGGATGGGGGCACTGAGAGGAGACAGGGTGATGAGGAATTCAAGGTCTGGGGTCTCTGCAGGACTCAAGGTGGAGAAAGGCTGGGGAGCCAAGCTAGGAATTCCTGCAGGACAGGTGACCTGTGGGAAGGTAGGGGCCAGAGCAGGCTGGAGGGTTTCTTCAGGATAAAGAGACTGGTGGGGGTGGGTGGGTGGGTCTGGCACTGGGGTAGGGTGACCCTTCAGGACACGGGTACCCATGAGGGGAGTGGGGACCAGGCTAGGAATCCTTGTAGGACATTGTGAGAGAGCTGGGTGATCTGGGTGGAAGACTGGCCAGGGACCTGGGGCACAAGAGCCAGGAGCGGAGGTAGAGGATGGGTCCCCACCTGGCCCTGACCTGGTGCTGACTCCCCCATCCGGCTCCGGAGAGGCCTGGGCTCCGTCCTCATCGTTCTCCAGGTTCTATTCCAGAACACAGGGCTCAGAGAGGTTACTGGGCCCAGGCCCTTCCTCCTTCCCCCTCAGGGAGAGGAGGAGAGCAAGCCCACACAGCTGTTGGCCTGGCTGCCTGACAGCTGCTCACCTCGCCCTCCACCCTCCCGCAAAACGGGTTTGATGATTCACACAAACCGAAACCCAGGTAGGATGTGGGTGCTGGGGGCTTGGGGGGGCTACGCGGTGGCAGGAGCCACCGGGGCTGGTTGAGGGCTCCTAGCATGGGTCCCAGAGCCAGGAGTTCTCCCAAGTTCGGGAGTCAGGGTGGAGCTTTCAGAATGGTATTTCACAGGCCCAGTATGGAGGCTCTGGATTTGGGGTGCCAAGGAGGGGCAGAAGCCCATGGTTTCCAGGTTTGGGGCACAGAAATCTGGTACAGGTCTCCAAGAAAAGGACCCTAGAGTCGGTGGAAGTCCTCTAAGGCGAATGGAGATTTCCAGTTCAGTGGGAAGTCTGCATCAGACGTACAGAGCGCTCTCCAGCCCAGGGGGATAAGGGGCGGGGGAGGGCGGGTTAGGTCAGTATCCAGGAACTGGTGGGAACACCGGGTGGGATTTCCAGTTGGGGCCAGGAGACTTGCTCCCGGGTTCCGGTTCTGAGCTCTCCAGTGGTGGCTGGGGACCAAAATCGGAGCTGAGAGGGTCTGGGCTGGGCCCTGGATCAGTGGCCTCGCAGGCTGGGGCCTCTAGACAGATGTTCCCGTGAGTTGGGACTCTCCAGGGTCCGGCCTGGAGTCCCGCCCGGACCCGGGCTGGGGTTGGGCTGGGCCGGACCATTCACCTGGTAGCGCAGCCGGGACTGCTTGTCCTCGTCGGCCACCTCGAACCGGGCCCGGCGCTCGAAGTGCAGCGGCCCGAAGCGGGCGACCCCGCTGAATTCGGGCCCCGGGCCCGCGTCCTCCAAGGACAGCTCGAAGGCGTCATCGATGCTGAACTGGGGCCGGGCGGCGCTCATGGCCCCGGCCCGCTCAGGCGCCCCTCGCCGCCGCCATCCGAGCCCGCCGGTCCCTAGCGCCGCGATCCCGCCCCCGCACGCAGGCCCCGCCCCGGGCCGTAGTCTTGGGAGCGCGACTGTCCGGCGCCCGGGCCGAGGCCCCGCCCTCACGTAACGGCCCCGCCCCTGCTCGCCGACAGCAGGCCCGAGCTGCCGAGCGCCGAGCGGACCAGTGGACGGGGCCTCCTTTGGGGACCGCACAGGGGCCGTGGCGCCTCCCAGCGGCCGCCTCCGAGCCACAGCGGGCGCTGTACTCGAGGCAATCCCTGGGTCTGTGTCCGGGGCTTGGAGAGGCAGCCAGACGCCAGCCGCCCAGGCCCAAGATGGGGCCTTCTGCATCCCAGCCCGCGCCTCCAGGGCCAAGGAGACTCCAGGGTCCAGACTGTGTCCTCACCTTGACTCACCGCGGATCTGCATGGGATGGGTAGACTTACCCCCGCAGATATGGAAACTGAGACTCAGAAAGCTTATGTGGCTTCTGCTCCTCCAACCCAGTCTCTACTCAGCAGCCAAAGTGATCTTCTAAAATATATCTGATCTTTTTCTCTGTGTGTTATTTTTAAGAAAGGTTTATTTGAGAGAGGGCGCCAGGGCGCGAGCGGGGGTGGGGGGCAGAGGGAGAGAGAGAGAAAATCGGCAAGCAGACCCCACTGAGCGAGGAGTCCCAGGTCGCCTGATCCCAGGACTCAGAGATCATGACCTGAGCAGAAACCAAGAGTTGGCCACTTAAGAACTGAGCCACCCAGGTGTCCCTCTCTGTGTGTTATTCCTAAATTTAAAAAAAAAAAAAAAAAAAAAAAAAGGGCTAAGTCGTCTGTATAAAACTGTCCCTTGGTTTTCCATTGTGGCTGAGGTCTTTCTGACTAAGGCCCACAAAGCTGTGAACGCTCCGGTCCCTCTATCTATCCAATCTCATCAAGCCTCCTCTGCCCCTCCTTCACCTACCCTCTGCAGCACAGGTCAACCTTAGGGCCTTTGCACTTGCTCTATACCTGGAAAGCACTTAACCTGGCTCTTTCACAACTGGGTCTTTATCATCAGTGTCCCTGTTCAAATGTCACCTCTCATGGGTTCCATCCCTGACTACGCCATCTAAAGTCAGCTTCACATTACACAGCACTTGCCTAAAGTTAACTTATTTTACCTGGTTTTACTCACCACTGTGTCCACAGTGTCTGAATGAATGAATGAATGAATGAATGCTTTGAACTGAGTGAGTGAATGCTTTGCCCAAATCCCAAATGCTCACAGGTGGTGGAACTGGGGACCTGGCATGCTGGCCCTCCACTGCCCACGCTTCATTCTGCGACCTCACGGACAGAGTCCTACTTCTCGGTTTAGGACACATCACTGCCCTGAACCGGGGCCCTCTCAGCGTGGGCAGTCAGCCTCCGTGCATCCCGCTCGGTTCTCTACACGTGGCTCGGCTGCCGCGTGCATGTTTGCGATCTACAGGTGGCGTGTATAAAACTCCTTCTGCTGTTTACGTTTTTGCATTTGTACACCCCACACTCGTGGTGTCTACACGTCTCTGTTTCTTCTGCCAGTCGCATGCGGCGTACCACGTTGGACATCCAACACTTTTATTATCCACGACATCCTTCGGCGAGGCCCGCTTAGCTCGGTCTCAATGCCCCGTCGCATCAGTGTCATGAACACCTTCACGCTACCTTCTGATGGACAGTGAGAAGATTCTTGAAGTAGGACTGCCAGGCCATAGGGTACAGGCCCCCTTGACTTTACAAATGTATGGATTGTCACACTCACCGTGAGGGTTCTGGTTTTCTCTTAGCACTTGGTAGTCCAGCTTTCAAACGCTTACTAGTCTTACTAGTCTGATGAATCTAAAAGGGTTCCTGATTTCCATCTGGGTCCTCTGACAACTGGGGAATTTGAATAGCTCTTCATGGACTTGGCAGTCGTGGGGCTTCCCTCTTCTGTGAACTGCGTTCATATCCTTTGTCCATTTTTCCTATTGGGTTTCTGGCCTTCTTTCTGCCAATCTGCATGTCTATACATGGGTAAGTATCAATCAATGCCTTGGTGTTGTGCAGATCTCTTCCCCGGTTTGTCTTCTTATTTGTCTAAGCTTCCCTTGGTTAACAATGCTCTGAGTCCTGGGATGGAGTGCTGGCTGGGGCCCACGTCACTCATGGGCTTCCTCGGGGAGCACGGCCTTGGCTCCTGCTGGGTCTCAACCAATGGATGATGGGGGCTCCAGGTACCAGCGCTGCCCAGAAGTGGCTACTGGGATGGGCCTCGATTTCCTCTCTCAGGCCTAGCACTCTCCCTTATTGACCTGCAGGGGGTGCCCCAAGAATTCTCCCCGGGGCTCACTTGAAAAACCTGCTGAAGAATACCTAGGCGTTCAAAGACTGTCTGCCTCAGGACACCCGTCCTGTTTGGTGGCTTCTGTTTCAGCTTCCTTTCTGGCCCATTGCCACATAGGCCTTCTCCAAATGAGGCTGCGGGGGGGGGGGGATCTGCACCCCATGCCCTCTTCTGCTCCGTTCACACCATGACAACTCGAATTCCTGTTCTCTCCACATTCCTCTTGGAGGCCTTCTCCAATGTGAGGCTCAAACTTACTACCCTGAGATCAAGGGGTTGGACGCCCTACCAACCGAGCCAGCCAGCCTCCCCAGGAGAGGTTTAAGCTTAACTTTTCCTCAAGGGTCAGCCCTGGTATGACTTTTTGTCAGAAATGGGTTAAACTGGAAGGTGTTTTGTTTCTGTCTTGAACGGGTCAGCCCAGAAGAGTTTTTTCTTTTTTTTTTTTTCCAGCATTCCTTACTTATTCTCTTTCCAAACCTTAGTCTTCAATATTTACTTTATTTTTATTTATTTGAGGTAGAGAGAGAGAGGGAGAAAGAGAACACAAGCAGGGAGGTGGCAGAGGGAGAAGCAGACTCCTTGCTGAGCCGGGAGGCTGATACAGGGCTCCATCCCAGAACCCCGGGATCATGACCTGAGCCGAAACACCGATGCTTAACTGACTGAGCCACCCGGGTGCCCAGGCATCTCCTGTGTTCTTACAGAGCACCTAACATAAGCCCTCTTACCTTGAGGCCTGCGATCTCCAGCTGATCTAGAAGTGTGTTTCCTGAGGGATCATCCCACCCTTCCTAAGAGTTTAATCACCTTCTGGCCTTGTTCTCCGTCAAAGCCAAGGGGCAGCTGGGCATGACACACCTGTTGTGTAAATCTAGGATCTCCTCGTGGTGGTACTTGGTATTCCTTAGCTTCCTCTAAATTCACATTCAAGGCCAGCTCAAAAAAACAAACAGGAAAATCCTGGGAACACACACGGAAAATAGAAACTCTTTCTGTTTGGTTTCCTCGTTTTTCTCTGCTTTGCTTACAAGTCACATTGGGCTGGCTGATGGCTGGCTGTATCACCCGAGTCGTGCGTCTGGTCCGAAGCTGGGGACCACAACCTGGTTTGTTTCGTGGACCAGGGGCTAGAGGGCTCTGGATTCCCTCACAAGGAGTTAGACATACAGTTCAAAGTCACTTCAAAGACAAAGAGGCAGATCGAGCCATTTGAAAGCAAAAATTTACTGTGTTTTCTTTCAGAGTTCTGTGGATTTACAAGAAAGGAAGGAAGGAAGGGAGGGAGGAAGGAAAGAAGGAAAGAAAGAAAGAAAAAGAGAGAATGGATCAAAGTTTACAGAATGCTCAGTTCAAGCTAAGAAGGCAAAAGGGGAGAGCTTGCGGCCACTGGGTACTCCCCCAGCAGATGCACAATAACATCTGAAACTCCCCCAGATTTGTTTCCTGCTTTCAGGAGGTGACGTTCCTTTACTCGCCATCTCTCACCATATACTTGGGTTGCTAGTCACATGACTGCAATGTGACAGAGGTATTTTGGGCTTGGTTTTGTTTTGTTTGCCCCGGTGCTGTAAAATGAGATTTCCAGTTCGTTTCTGAAAAATAACTTGGTCAATACATTCATTTTATTCTGCTTCTATTTTTACACCCAAAGACTAATTAAAAGAAAAAAAAAAAGGATCCTCAGTTTTATAGGTTCAAGCCCATCAGGTTTGTGCTGTTTGAGTTTTGTTTGAAGTGTTTCCTCCTCCCAAGATCACAAAGATATTCTCCAATGTCACAGTGTCCTGGCCTGATAGTTTTATGATCCAGAAAAGTGTTGCAACAAGGTAGTTCACTGACTCTAGAGGCCAACTTCACTGGAATTCATCCCCTCCTTACTAGCGCTGGGATTCTGGAAGGCCAGGACGAGGGTAAAAAATTTAAGGGGCCATTGAAAGACCAAGCAAGATCAATAATACTTTAACACACTACTTTTAAAAATAAAATTTAAGGCAAAAATACACGATGAGCAAAATATCAACATTTAACTTTATTTATGATTATTTTAAAAAGCTTTTGTTTATGTATTTATTTTAGAGGGGCACCTGGATGGTTCAGCTTCAGGTTAAATGTCTGACTCTTGGGTTTGGCTCAGGTCGTGATCTCAGGTCTTTGGACTGAGCCCTTGGGGTCTACCTGAGATTCTCTTTCTCCCTCTGCCTCTTCTCCTCTCTCAAATAAATACATAAATAAATCTTTATGTATTTATTTGAGAGAGAGAGAGAGATAGTGCCCGGGGGGCTGGAGCAGAGGGAGAGAGAGAAACTTAAGCAGACTCCATGCTGGGTGTGGAGCCCAGTGAGGGGTTCAATCTCACGACCTCGAGACTATGACCCTACCTGAAACCAAGACTCAGAGGCTTGACTGACTGAGCCACCCAGGTACCCCCAAATAAAATTTTAAGTAAAGACACGATTTGAGTTTGCGTGACTCACCTCACTCATCTCACCCTCGTCGAGCCTTGAGCAAGTTCTGCAAACTCTCCGTGCCTCAGTTTCCTCATTGTCAGGTGTAGGTAATAATAGTATTTCCTTCATTGCATTAGTTTAGGATTAAATGAGTTCATGCACATCAAGGAGCATAGCACAGGGCCTGCCATATATAAACACTCAATCTATATTAAGTACTACAATTTAAATTAAGATCCTTAACCCTACAGACACTG